AATTAAATTGGTAGAGTTGTGACTGTTTAAAGTATATATAAATTGGGTGGCTGGGTTAAAAGTGAGGTGGCCGGTCTGTGGGGGTGGCCAGTCTTTGGGTGACGGACGTTACTTACATGCATCGAGTCCGGGGAAGATCCCCGTAATTTTCATTTCTCCATGAAATGTCGATCTTTCTGTTTTTTCCTCGTCTCCAGACTCAGTTTCAGCAAAGTCGTATCCTGAACTGAATATTGGTCGTATATAAAACTTCCGTACGTCCGAATAAGATTGCGATGTTAGCTGCTTATGTAGGATCTAGTGCACGAGTCAGGCCTTGAACAGGGCTGAGATCGACAACTAAAATCGCTTTAGTTAGTCGTTGGGGATCCACAATTTGCGGAAGAATGGCTCACATCCCGCTTTAACTCTTGGGTTGCAATTCTGTGCTTCTATCACATTTTGTTGTCTCAGTGACTCGAAAGCCATTGCAAGTGACCCAACGACCTGGTTCAAGAAACAGGGGTATAGTGAGGGGAGAACGATAACATGGCTTTCTCCAGAATCGACAATAGTTCCCGGAACGATGAGACCCCGGATCCCCTGAACTCTATTGTCATGAATCTTTGTCTGTTGTTTCGAGACAGGCAGACTCTTGGCGTGGCCTTGGGCTGATATGGGGTTGTGTTTTGCTCACCAGACATAGGCCTTGCCACTGGTAGCCGATTGATTAGTTAGTTAATAACGCTATCATCTATTTCTCATGGCCCAAAGGTTCCGACACTAGAGGCATCCGAGGAGAATAGGCCGATATCGTCCAGACGGGCCGTCTTGCAAGCGCCTATACCATTCAATAGAAAAAAAAAATACAAACGTCCCAACTCGCCGTTGATCTCCTGGGAACTACGGTGGCATCGGCCAAGAATATTTGATCTACGGCGTGAAAAGCGAGAAGCATCTCGTCCTGCGGGTTGAGCTTCGTTGTTTATTGCGCCTAGCTTCACGACCGTGCGGAACTAGAACCAGGGGCCAGATTGCGCTTCGTCGCTATCTCCAGTCGGAAGCGAGCCTGGGTTTGGCAAGCCTTGTAGCAAGATAAGAATCCCGTTGGCATTTTGCCGATCGCTGAAATTGCTCCAAGTGCGAGATTACTCACTACGACGAGCTGTGTTGAGAAGCACACAAAATGCTCCGGAGACTCATAACTATTATCCAGATTCGCCACCCCCTAGGCAACAAAGTCAAGTATGCGGCTGTAAACCTCCTATGGCCAATGAAGGCTCTGGTCTTTAGCAAAATATACCAGAATCTCGTCAGCCTCGACTTCGCCCGACAGTAGCCGCAAGGCATTCCCACGTGGAACAACAGTCTATCAGGCAAGCCATAACTTAATCGTGTCAGAAGCCCAGAACCTGAAACCACTTCCTCTTCATTGCACGGAACAGCTTAGTCCGACATACAAGACGAATCCTTAGGTCTTGCAAGACGAACTGGCTTACAGCCAGATGTGTAAGTTGGACTCAAAACACTTGATACATCCCTGGAAAGAGTCATCTAGACCAGTGTCAGACTTTCGCCATCAGTTCATTGCAATTAAGGCTTAATGGATAAAATACAACCATAGTCCGAGCACATACCCATGATTCGATGATCCTGCGATTTAAAGCCATCTCGAAGCCTCAAATGCAGTATGGCAGCTACGTCTTGTCTTCTATCGCTTAAAGACAAACGCCTCAAGAATCTACCGTTGACATTAGGCCCGTACCATTCCCATTACAGTGCTATAAAAAGGATAGTTGCGTAAAGTCATACGATATTGCCTCACGGGTGCACTAGTAGTTCTTCCCGGGAATTGTGTTGCAGTACTAAGCTAGTTCGTATGAATATTGCACACCATCAGCGGAGGCGTTATTCCCCCCTCATTCACACCTTAAATCCGCTTGATTAAGTCACTACGTGGAATGGCGTTTTGGACTTGAGACAGTTCAGCCAAACTCAGGTGAAGCTTGGGATACTTTAGCCATTACTGGGGTGCTTCGGTTGGTTGTTCCCCCGAAATGTGCATATCGCTACAACATCAGCGTAACATCATGCAGCAGAAGTCAGAGCCAAGTCTTTCTATCGTTGTTCTAGTTGATCTCCCGTCTCACACAATTGTCGATCAGCCCCTATTCCAACCTAGCTGATTTGACATAAAATCTCAAACTTTTCGAGGTGTCCGTCCTACTTCAAGCGTCAACAGTTCCCTTCACCCGGCGGACATATTCTTCCTGGTGACAAAAGGAAAGCAGGGGGAAAACCAATTCTGCCCCTATACGTGACCTATTACGCCTCACCAAATTCAAGATGAATCATCTAAGCATTATGAATCAGTTATGTCGATATCTGGGTCTGACCAAGGCATGGCCCAACACAATTGCATTTACCTGCCTCTTTAGATCGTTGCTTGCGAGACTGTCGCAAAATCTTATTAACAGATTTAGCGAAGGCTGAATCAGTCATGCAACGCGACAGATGAGAGATCAGAGTAGCTTAAGACAGGAGTGACTCCAGTTCACATGTGTCGTTCTGGTCGGGATAGATCTTGAGAGTCATCTTCATTGTTGCGAGTTTCGTGATTCTGGAATAGCCTGGTGCATTTTCTCATCTTGATGTGACTAGCTTCCATTTAGCTGTTTATTTTCCTTGTATAATATCATCAATGGTTGGCGATTCCATTGTTGTGGCTACAACATTGCGTCCAGTCTGGATGTAACTCTGGTAAAGCAAGGCCAGAAGCCATTTCGAACTCTGATTCCGAACATTTGTAGACTCGATATGCATTGAGATTACATTTCTTCTCTTTTCTTTTATCTTCACGAACTATTGGTGAAATCTTTCACGATGCTGCCGCTCTCAGTGTTCGACGACAATGTGATGGCCTGCTTTTCCGTGCTGAAGCAATCACCAGCCCTGCAGCATAAACCGTACAAGACATTCTATGGTCAGAAAGAACAAGTAATATGATCACATGGCTCTTTTTGGATCAGCATAAGCTGAACACTTGCTTACAGATGTCATAAACGCTGTTGAGCTGATGGTCCTCAGAGAAGAGGTAGTCGAACGACGTTCGCTACACGCATTGAGACTAGGGGATGACCAGAAGGCATATTTAGGATATCTCAGGTGATTCTGGGCCTCAGAATTATTCAATAATTCATCTTACACAGCGATTCCTTACATTACTCCGGGTGGTTCCAAGCAGAGGTTCTCTCACGCCCCTGACACCTCACTTCAGTGACCTCTACTACCGATTTCACAACGATCAGGCCACCAAACGAAATCGTAACTGGCCAGAGTTTGGGTTAAAAGGATATTTCATTGATTAGCTCTGCTGCATAGAATCATATTTCATCATTCGAGAACTCTAGGTATCCTTGATGAAGTAGGTGTGAGAGTAGGAGAATATAAATACAAAGACTACCTTCCAGAAAAAGCATACCAATAAAGGATATATCTCCCGCATTAATCAAATCTTAAATAAATTGAATATTCTATCGTCACAATTTCCTGTTCATTCATCTAAGCTTCCATTTAGTCGATAAAGTTTGGGTATGGTGTAAAGGCTGGCGCGAACAGCACCTGTGGCGTTGAATATATATTGAAGCTATACGATTTCTTTCAACAAATCACATCCGGTGTGGTGTATCGGTTTATCATTCCGCGTTTTCAATTACCATGTAATAAATCCGCGGCGAGCGGGGTTCGACTCCCCGCACCGGAGAACCTTTTGCCTTTAAAATTAATTTTTTGCTATTTTTTAATTGCTTTCCTTATGTTTTTATTTGTCTTTGATTGCGATACCTCGAGTCGCAGTCGTCGTGACGTTGTCAAAGCACAAGCTCCTCTATGGCATGTAGAGGCCGGTCAGGTCACGTGATTCCACTACTTAAATACCAGTTAAGCAACTGGGAATTTGAACATAATGATTCTCTGATTTTGTCTGCTTTATGTTCTTTTTATGTTCTTTAACGTTCTATACTTGTAGGTCTACAATCATGTTTATGATGCAAGCTTGGAGCTGTTTGGTCTAACTCAATGACTGCTCTAACTACGTAACAAACCAGCTTTGTTCCATGATATACTGAATAAGTAGAATAATTGATCGAAGAGCTTGAAGTACCCCAATCGCGTCATGTAAAGTACCAGAATTGTGATATTTCCATCGTGACTTGGAGTAATGTCCTATAAGTTCAGTCTCGTTCAAGAGAACTGGAAGTACAGGGTAGCGATGATGCCAGGTTGCCGACATTTTCCCGCCTCAAGTCAACCAGACATCAACCTCCGTCATTCATAACAATTGGTTCAACATCCCGAGTAACAATTGAAACCTTCTGCTTCCGGAGTGACAAGCCGTCACCCTAGGGAGGCATGATAATCGACGCCTGACATGCGCGAGTTTATGGACTATGTCCATAGCGCCTTCTATGAAGCTACTGGATGGAATCGCGACAACTCGTACGCAGCGCTGAATGTGACCAGTGATGGTATGGAGCCTTTCTCTCCAGTAACGCTCCGGTCCGTGTATTGACAAGAGAGTTGCAGCTCTTCTGAACTTCCAGACCCCTCGTGGGCTACGACTCACCCTATCTGCCCTCGCGAGCCCCAACTTTGCGACATCCTACCAACTTGGCTCAGTCGGTATCGTTGATGGATCCATCTCGTACCTCTTCTCATCAGTCCCGCTTCGACTTCTTTTGACACCGCAATCGGAGACGGTCAATCTACCGGAGCTTTTGCGCTCGTACAGACCTCTCACCGAACTCCCCCACCGAAGCAATCCTCTCCTCCAGACACCGAAAGATAAACCGGAATCGTCACTCCTGTATGGTCGACTCTACCTACCCCAATCGCTACTCGAAGCTCTATTCGTCAAACGACTGTCTCCTGCGCTCCAGGTCCAGCTCAGTTCTGTATCTGCCCAGCACCTTAAGAACGGCGGCACTGTACTAGGCCTGGCGCAATATGACGTAGGGAAATATGCGCTCGAAGGACTGGCGTCCTCAGATGGGGGACTACTCGGCTTCCGGGGCGTGTATAATTTCGGCGGCGATGCCGAGAAGCCGTCAGACCAGGCTGTCAACGACAATGGAAACGCCGACAGGGAAAGGATCTATGGTCGATTCAGCACCGGTGGAGAAATCTATTACGGCACCCTGAACAAGTCGGGTGGAATCAGCGTGGGAACCCGATTTGCAACGTTACCCGCGCACAAGGGAACGCCTTTATCTGCGACGTTGACACTGAATCCCTTGATGGGTAATATCAGTGCAAGTTATGCCGTGGTGGCAGGCCAGCATTGCAGTCTTGCTACGCGGATGGAGTTCAACGTGTTCAGCTACGAAAGCGCTTGGGCTATTGGTATGGAGCTCTGGCGGAAGCCATTTACCCGACCGGTTCTTGATGACGAGCCAGTCATTGATGACAAAGTGGTTCTTGACGATAAACCAGAGGTGAAGCGGCCAAAGGAGCGCAGCTTTCAAGCCAAATTGGAATGGCGTCTGGATGATACCGAACCAGTTGTCGTCAAGCCACCGTCGCCTCCCCCTTCACCCCCAAAGGAGGAGATAGACCCTGAAAAGCCTGGAGAGGAGAGATATGCAGGCGTACTCAAGACTCGACTTGACCAAAACATGCGAATAGGGGTGCTGTGGGAAGGGCGGGTCAAATCTCTCCTATTCAGTCTTGGAAGTTCGATCGACTTGAGGAAACTTGACAAGCCATTCCGAACGCTCGGATTGGAAATCCAGTTTTCATCATGATCGGATATTAAAATATACCATGAGGCCCTGTCATCTACGTTGACTACTGCAGGACCGCAATAGCCCACTACTGCAGTCGGCCCGTAGGATCATGTCAGCATGATCTATGTGGTAGCTCATATGTGTGATGCAGCTGAATTAACGATGGTGCATATCAACGGGAATAGCGACCCGGAAGTTGGCTAGGACACTGCAGACGTCGGTGTTTTGTATTGGTTAGGTTGGATGTATTATCATGAGCATCTCAATGGCGTTACCGGTTGGAGGCATTGCTTTTCAAGGGGCATAGATTTGGAATTGGCGATCGGTGGCATAGTACTTCTCCCATTACTACTGTTTATTTGTCAATGTCTTCTCTGACAGCATCTACCATCAGCTCTCGATGGCTCTCATGTGACAATCCTTGTATGAATAACCGTTTATGCATAAGTGCAACCATCTCAAGACACATCATCGTAGCTGAACGGTTTGGAGATGCCGTCAGAGCCGATTGCAAGACCTTTTGGCGTTTTTAATTGCGTGGGCGCCTTTGGCTTAGACATGGATCATGCCCGCGCTGATTGAGAACCTTGATGGTCTCCGCGATCTTCTCCGGAATGTCAAGTGTGGCTGCTGGAGTTAGCGAGCCAATAAGGTGCCTGCTGATTGATAACGGGTAATGACGCCACATTTTGAGATTGAGGCTCTTTTTAACATTGATTCCATTCGTGTGACATTTATTGTAACCTAAAGTGACTCATGATCAGGGACAGTCATATAGAGACTGCAGCAATGCTGACTGTCATATGATGCTTTTTCTTTCTAGCAAACTCACCCGTGTCACCATATGATAACTGTACCTGAAGAATCACTAGCCACAGCTTAGAAGCTTCTACAGCCCGAAACGGTACTAGCCGAGCTTTACGAGGCTAACATGGCCATCAAGGTCCTCACCTTAATTCGACCCACTCCCACCTCAAACCACCACGTTCGTCTTTTTCTACGGCTCAAGATTCAACCAGAGACAGAATGTGCTGTCACATCTCAAGTCACACCTTTTGGTCACAGTGGATCATGACGGTGATGCCAAGGAATGTGGCAGTTGCCGAGTTCCATGTTCCTGGGACGTGAATAACTAACTCTCCGAGTGTCACAGAGAGTTTGTCATTGGAGTGAATTATTGATGAGAGTAGCGAGTGATTAAAACACGGTTTGTGTTAGAGTTCATCCAGCGGACCTGGGGCCAAAGAGGGAATAATGCAAGACGTTATCAGTTGTGCTGAGTTTTCTAGTCTTCTTTTGCTTCAGTACCAAAGTCCAGAAGCTTTGCATATACGAACTCAGTCGCTTTGATGCAACGATGTTTCGCTTTTCTACTCTCGATTTCTTAACCTTATTACTTTAACTTTAAGACTCATCGTAAGCATGTGTCCAAGAGATATCACGCCTATCTCGTTAGCAGTAACTATATCTTGTCCCAAGAAACCCCTGGTCCTAGACAACCCACCCCTCAGTATCAATCATCCCACGCGCTTGCGGCTCGAATAAATCTAGTCTACAGCCTTCGGCACCTCGCTTCCGTCCGCTGGACCCTCTGTCAAGCTAAACCTGGTCAGCTAGGCCGGTTCGCCCACTCTCTATAAGTCGAGTCTGCGCCATCAAGGTTCGTCGCGAATTTCGACTTCTCTCGTTATTTTGCACGTCACGCAACGCTCGCTGTATTATAAAACCCATCGCGGCTCGCAGGTTCATCGAGTTGCAATCAGCTTCAGGCCAAGCAAGCAGTTCAACAATTAGCGCGCGCCTTGGCGTCTCGACACCGTTCGAATCATACAGCGCGATTATCCTTGGTCGCTTCCTTTTTAGGGAACAACGCATCTAAATAATCCTTGGCTTCGCATCTCTGCGCCTTGGCATTTGACGACATATTTTCCGACTACCACCTCACATCACCTACTACCTACAGGCCCGCGCCTCTTTTCTGGGTCTCGCTCTTCCCATAAGACTCTGCTCGCTGCATCCTTACCTTTATCCTTCTCGACATCCATTAATCGACAGAATGGCCGACGCTGATACCTGCGGCGGCGAGGCCGTCGATCTCGGCCGACGAGGTCTTCGAATTGGCTCCATCTTCATCATCATGGCCTCTTCGGCTATCGGCGCACTCTTGCCCATTTTCCTGGCGCGCCAGAAGACGATCCCGGTACCTAAGATGACCTTCTTCATTTGCAAGTTCATCGGTACCGGAGTCATCATAGCGACAGCTTTCATGCACCTGCTTGTTCCCGCTGTCGAGAACTTGACCGACCCCTGTCTCGAGGACCGACTGGGTGGTTACGATTGGGCTGAAGCCATCGCGCTCATGACTGTTATTGTCATGTTCTTTGTCGAAATGCTCGCCGCTCGTCTCAGCAACGCCGACATGGAGCACAACCACTCAATGGAGATTGACCACGAGCTCGATCCTGCTATGGACTTTATCGCTAAGAAGCAGCCCAGCAACCCTGACATCGAGAACGGTGACCGTATGGGGCCTGGCTATGCCCCTGGTGGTGACAGCCACCTCGCTCACGGTCGTGAGCACAAGGAGGGTGATGCTCAGGGCGGACTTGCTGGTCAGCTGCTTGCCATCTTCATTCTCGAATTCGGTGTCGTGTTCCACAGTGTCTTCATCGGTCTTACTCTCGGCACGATCGCCTCTGACGAGCTTACCGTTCTCTTGATTGTTCTCGTCTTCCATCAGATGTTCGAGGGTCTCGGTCTCGGTTCTCGTCTGGCTGTCGCTCCTTGGCCCAGTAACCGACAGTGGATGCCCTACCTACTCGGCTGCATCTTTGCTCTATCAACTCCCATTGGTATCGCGGCTGGTATCGGAGCCAAGCCCAACAACGCCAACGACCAGAAGCTTACAAACGGTATCTTCGACGCTATCAGTGCTGGTATTCTCATGTACACTGGTCTTGTAGAGCTCCTCGCCCACGAGTTCATGTTCAACCCTTACATGCGCAAAGCCCCAATCAGGATTCTGTTGCTCGCATTCGCATGTGTTGCCTTCGGTGTCGCTGTCATGGCTATTCTTGCCAAGTGGGCTTAAAGGAGACTCGTGTGGAAGAAAAGTGGTTAAAATGGATATTCTCGAGGTTTATACCTGAATAAGGTTGGGCCATAATAAACTCATTTGGCATTGCGTTAGACGGATAGAATTGATACCTGGTCTGTTTCTTCGACCCTGTTACTATTAGTTATGGCCAGGAAATAGAGCCTTTTTCTTTTGACGCTTAAAGCCGATGAACAGTGAATCTCCTCGTGTTTGCCTGTTGAAGATTGTGAACAGCAAGTGACGTAGACGAAGTAAAAGTAACGATGTGGAACCACGTGAGAGCGAATAGTTGCACAGATGCAACAGATGATCAGGACCCAATCACTTACATGAATATTTGCCTAATTTGGACATCGGTTCAACCTCAGTGGTGATATTCTACAAGAGAGGCTCCACTCTGTTATACAGTGCATACACCCAAACACTGTATGCAGCACTGTGTATCAAAATTATGGGGCTCGCCAAGGGCCTTTAAGTGATTTCTAAAAAAAAAAAAAAAAGCCCTTGTGTGTGCTGGCGCCTCATAATCGAGGCATCAAAGCGCACAATTAGGGTTGGGCCAAATTAAGCGACCATAGTTGGATTTCGACCACGATTCTAGCAAAGTGAGATCTTCGAGCTCAACTATCGCGACGCTTCGACAACCACACCCAACGACCAAATTCCCCTTCACCCACCCAACCCCAACAATACCGCAAAAATGGCCGGCGGAGTTACCGTTCGCGATGTCGATGTAGGTACTCCCTGAAAAAAAAAAAAAAAAAACCCCCCCATCACAGGAAACGAAATACACTTCGAAAAAATCACACGATCTCTACTCGACGACTTGGCGACGCAATCTTCCAAGAGAACCGCTAGCCCGCCATGGCGCTGGCGCAGCGCGATGATTATATATCAAATGATAATTGAAACGCTGTGTCGGCTGCTGTGTTCAAAGGGCTGGGTACAAATGGGATTGAGGAGCAGGCGCGAGGGAGTCGAAAGACTTCTGACGACGGAATCATGCTAATGGGTTTTGTGACTGCAGGCGCAGAAGTTCATCACTGCCTACTCTGCTTTCTTGAAGCGACAGGGCAAGCTTCCCATCCCCGGTAAGACATTCTGAACTCTTTCGATACTTATTTAATACTGACTTTCTCAGGTTGGGTCGATACCGTCAAGACTGGTCCTGCCAAGGAGCTCCCTCCCCAGGACATTGACTGGTTCTACGTCCGCGCCGCCTCCATCGCCCGCCACGTCTACCTCCGCAAGACCGTCGGTGTTGGCCGTCTCCGCAAGGTCCACGGCACTGCCAAGAACCGTGGCAGCCGTCCCTCCAAGCACGTCGATGCCTCCGGCTCCGTCGACCGAAAGGTCATGCAGGCTCTTGAGAAGATCGGTGTCCTTGAGCAGGATGAGGACAAGGGTGGCCGCCGCATCACCCAGGCCGGACAGCGTGATTTGGACCGAATTGCCCAGACCACCGCTGAGGCCGAGGAGGAGGAGGATGACGAGTAAACAAAAACTGGCGGTTTCCGGTCAAAGTCAAAGGTAGCAATGGCAATGGAATTGGGCGTTGGGTCATAGATTTTGTCATGTATGAATGAGATTCCCCCGACACTGGGTCATTCGGTTTGGTCAAATTGGACCCGTCCAACTTGTCGTTCATTTTATGGTCGATTTGCTCTTGTGAATGTGTATCTTGAATGTGCTTGTGTGTTTCATGGTCGTAACCTTGATTCAAGTTGTGAAAGAATTTCCTTTACCCCTCTTTATCCCCTCTTCTCATTCTGATCTCTCGTTGATCTCTCTTCAACCACTACCTCCTGGAGATAGGGTTAAGACACGGTAAATATTGCATGCCCTTCACCCCTTTCCCTTCTTGTGATCTCTATTCATCTTCAGCACCTCATGAGATCTTCTCTGATTCCAAGTGTTGCTCTCATCTCCCCCTTCGCAAAGTGAGGTCATCGCGAGTTCTCTGATTTGGTTTCTTTCAAAGCGCTGAGCTTTTCTATTTGCAACTCCATTTCCGCGTGTTACGAGTTACGACTTATCTTCGCTGTTTGATCTCGAAGGATACTCTCATATTGCCAGTTATGGCCCGGCTTTGAAGAGTTGTGCGAGTTCCTCCCAAGAGCACGACTTGTGCAAAGCGAATGATCATATTTATCCACGTTCATTGAAGTATCCCTGAATCACGATGATTTTTATCCTTCACTCTCTTCACTAAAATCTGCTTCTCAAGTGGAGTGATCTGTAAGTGTGTTACAACTTCAACTCCAAGTCCTCAACTCCTTCAAGAAACTCACTCATACACCTTTCACTCACAGGCACAACTCTCCTTTCCCAATTTGCAAAATGAACACACCGCAATCAGCAGCGTCAAGCTCGGAGGAAGTTGAAGAGGTTCTACCAGTCTTTGTGTCTGCTATTAGCAACCCATCACCCCTTATATACTTCCACCATATCATCGACTCTGAAACCACAAAGCTTACAGTTCAAGTCCTCGGGGCTAATATCTCCTTCGTCTTCAGCCATCGTCGAGCAAAGACCATTAACAGCAGATCTACTATCGAAAGGCAACTTGAAAACAAAACTACAGGGTTCATTTCCATTGTGTCTGCAAAATCTCAGCGTGTTGTCTTAGCGGCAGCTGAATCAGGTCATGGCCTTGGACGATACGGCGACGTACTTGACAAGAAGAAAGGCATTCTTCCAAATAGTATTTGGACAAGGCGAGTCGTGGCCATGGGTAAGACCCTTGGTTTGAACATGAGAAGACCCTTTGACAACCCTGGCCGAAGGGTTGGAAACACTGAGGGTATTTTTCTCGGGTCTCACGTTGAAGTCAAACTCGCAGTTCATGGTATTTGCGTTCTCCTCCAGACTTTCGGGATCACAAAAGACTTTAACAACGTCACGATGAAGCAACTGAACCAACTTGGACAAGCCCGCTGGGAAGATGGATCTCGTCCCGTTCTCGAAGTGTACTTCTCCCGAAAGTTCTGCAAACCCTGCAAGACTCTTGTACAGAAATTGCAAGATGCCACTGGGGTTACGATCAGACTTGTATGGAAGCATCGCCTCGTGATGAAGAAATACATCATCAGGCCAATAGATCGAAACCGAAAACCTGGCGAGCCCCTGCGAGCACAAGAGTTTGAGCCTCAAGACTACGACTTTGGAGATATCCTGCCTGATGATTCTGACATAGAAGTCATATCCGATGACGAGGGTGCCAAAGAAGAGGTCGAGAAGGTTGACCTTACCCACATTCGATCGACATCGCCAATTTCATGGAATCAAGAGATCGATGATTATCTGGATGGTCTCGCTTATAGAGTAGGCCAGATGGAAGACTGCCCAGAAGGTGCCAGATCAGCTATCGTCGAGTTTGCCAGTATTAGAGTCAACGCCAAGAAGTCTCCCAATGCTACAAAAGTTAGCAAACCCCTGCCAGCGACGCCGGTTATAGAAGCACCAGCAGATTTCCTCGAGGGTGACGAGCGACAGCGGCAACGACATACGTTTCCTCGTGCGCAGAAAAGACTGTTTCGTGGACCACACGATAGGAATGACTCTAGAGCAAGGAGTGCTTCTCCCAGACGCCGGGCACAGATTGTCAGAGACCGCTCACCACGACGATACAATTTGGGACCATTGGGACGCTATTCAACGGAAGCTCCTCAAGAGAGATCTTCAGCCAAAGCCAGTTCACGAGCTCGCTCTATTCGCTGATTCAATGTGATCAAATGATCAAGGGGTGTTCTGCGAGAATCCTTAAACAGATAAAGCATACGGCAACTATTCTGAGTGCTGTTGAAGGACACAGAAATTCTGTCAAGGCGTCATTCAAGTTTTTGGAAGGCTGAAGCCAACATTGTCTGTGTGAGGTGAAGAATCTACTATACTTCTCAAACCGCGAAATGGGAGGATAATGCAAAGATCTATCACGGAAAGGGGAACATTTGTCAGAAGATCACAGGATCGATGTATCATCCAGTTCATGATTTCACAGCATTATCTTAGTTTTGGTAAAAATTGCTATCAACTGTTTACCTTGTATCCATGTGTATTCGTTTCTTCTATTATTCATGAGACCTTCGCTTGTGTATCACTTCAACCCGTATTACCTCATATCCTTTCCAGCGCTCTCCTGTAACAGCTTCTTGAACCCATCTGCCAGCTCTTTTATCACCACATCTACATCGGGAGCTTCAGGTCCCTCCTCAGCTTCTTCGATCACTGCTTGGAGGGCTTCCTCTCTCGCTTTTTCCGTGCCTTCAACTCCGATCTTGCCCATTGTGAGAGCATTCTTGACATCTTTTCCATGTCTGACGGGCCCCTTTGGCGTTTCTGGTGTTATAGCAGTGTCTTCTAGCAGACTCTGCCATCGGGAGAGATACATGCCTGGGCCTGACATATTACCTGATTCTGACTCGTCCGAGTCGATGATGCGCTGTAGGCGGCAGAGAGAAAGGGCCTCGACTTGCGCAAGGTATGCGGCGTGGTTATCCAATGAAATGAGAACTTCCTTTTGAGACTTCTCAGGAACCGACTGAAATAGCTTATTCAGTTGGTCGTCCATGGTACTCATATCAACAGTACCATTGCTTGCCTGCTCTCCAGCCTCGGCATTGCTCGTCTTTTGCACAGGCTTTCTTTCCTGGCGAAACTTTGGTACGGCATCGTTGGTCCATTTCTTCATCTCTTCCCAAACATCAGGACACGATGCCGCAAACGCATGGACCCATCTATACATGAGCTCTCGGTTTCTCATGAAAAGACCAACGTAATCGTCCACAGTTGGCATGCTACCGTCCTTCTTCGGCTTGCCAGCCTTGATGAACTCATCGATAAACGATTGACCCGCTTCGACATGCTCCCGCAAATCTATCTGGGAGTGTACCATGCGGATCATAGGTTCATAGGCGGCAAATAGATCCTTGATAGTTGCGGTAAAGAGATCAGGAGGCTGGCGACAGAAGGCTGTTGTGATGCTTTCACGATCGCGCACGGAGAGAAGAGCAGAATAATACTCGAGACACTGCGCGTGCTTCTGATCATCAAGCTGAGTCGCTAACGTGGGATTGGACCCGTTAAAAATAGCGGTGATAATTGACTGAGCATGTTCCTCGCTGGCATTACGGACCGTCTTATGCTCATCACGACTCATAGCGATATACTGACGAATAGCCTCGAGCATCTCGTCACTCGGTCGATCCTTAGCTCTCTCAACCTTGTCAGCACTCTTTCGGAACTCTCCAGCGTCCCATGACAACACTAATGAGATAATCCGCTGCAAGAGGTTCATGCCATCGTCGGCGTTGGCGGTCAAGCCGATCCAGTTGGTGACGCTCGTAACGCTCAACTTTGCAAGGAGTAGGCGCATCATGGCGCTAATCATACTAGCGGCATTGCCCATTCGTAAAGTCTGCTTGACCATTTTGTACGGGATGAGGTTGTGGACATTTTCGAGGAGTTTGAGGAGATATTGGCCTTCCGGGGAGAGGACAAAGATGTGGTGGATGAAGGTGGCGAGGCTTTGGTTTTGTTAGTAGGAGGTGGTAGAGAATATCCTACGTGAAACTTACTGGATGATGGCATATTCAGCTGCTGCTCCAATGACTGGAGAATGACTCTCGAGATCTGAAGTTTTGCTGAAATGATCAAACATCTCATCTGCCAAACCTCCATAGACCAAGCCCTCAACAACATCATCCCACGCCTTTACCAAGTCTGCGGCCTTGGTCCGATCGTACTCAACCTTCTTATCCGAAGACTTATCCGGTCGATTTGCTTTCTTGACACCACCAAGAACTCCTCGGCCAACCATTTCAAGAAGTCCACTCGACCCAGTCGCAAGTACTTTTCTCGTCCCCAGAGCCCCCTTATCATAGCTCTCTGAAAGTTCTGCCTCTCCGAGTCTCGTCAACAAGCCCTGTACTCTAACAGACCAAAACTCGCGTGGTAGATCTCGCACACCCGGAAGCTTCAGAATGAATCGCGTTAACATGGTCTGAAGAATAGGAGACGAAGAAGGTTTCTTATCGTCATCATCGCTAGGAGTTTCCTTCACGTCTTTCGCAGCTCCTTGCTTTGGCGTTCCGGGTCTTGAGCTCGCAGGTGTTCCAGCCCAGCTCCTCCATCCTGTGCTTGGGGGTGCGCTTTGTGTAGTTTGAGGTTCAACCGTTGCTCTTGAGAAAGGATAGCCATAGCCTGTGACTGCATCTGGATCCTTGAAGCCCTGGATTTCTGCGTATGTTTCGTGATGCGTGAGGATATCAAATAAGGCATGCACCTGCTCAGGTGCGAGATTTGTAGACGTCATGATATCTCATTTCACATCGAGGGCGTACGGCGTATAGAGGAAGGGAGATGAGTCTGAATAAATAGACGTGTGAGATGTGATTTTTCAGCGGCTTTTGATGGATGTGACGAGATGCTCCAGTGGTCAGTGGTCAGTGGTCAGTGGATATAGTGTCCGTTGTGAGAAAGATCCACTGACTCTTAGTGGAGGATTTATTGTTAAACTTTAGATCAATGAATAAGTGAATGAGGCCCCAAAGGGCGAGAATCATGGAGTGCCATACCTTCATGGTGTGGTGACGTAGTCTTGAGGCTGCACTCGCTAAACCTTTTCTGTACAAACCCCCACTATGATTGTTGACGTTTGATTACGGCTTCATATTTACCTCATTCTGTACACTTTGTTCAACAGTCAGGCCTTTTATTGCATATAGGGCCAACCACGGTATTTCAGGGAGAAAACTCGTTGATTTGTTCGACCCTCGAAGCCTTTCCAACGCTGCATATCACGCCATCACATCACAATAGAACAAAGACATCAACGGTAGAGAAGTCAATTTCAACTATCAACCAATCGTGTATACCCTCGTAACAAAGGAAACGGCCGTCACATCACTAATTAATAAACCTGTAGTTTTCCTTAACCAAGCACAATCCTCGCATCGTGCTTTATCCACCCATCGTCATTGCTTCCAGTGTGGTATCAAAAACAAAGAGAATAAAGACAACTCAAGTACATGAGCATGGGTATAACGTCAACAATCCTCCACTATTATTTTTCCTGTGCCTACTTGGCATCTCCGTCGCATTGATTTTAAACGGGGTTGATCTGGCCAGTGGTGAGAGGAGCCTGGCCAGTGGGCAGGCCGGTCTGACCATTGGTGAAACCAGCAGGGTGCTTGCCATGAACAGCACCGTTGCCAATCTGGAGACCGTTGCCGCCGTTCAACGCACCATTACCAGTGTGGGTGTTACCACCAACAGGGTAGAAGTCGTAGTCAGCGTTGGAAGTGTTCTTAGGTCCAAGATCTGACACGGGGTGAGCCTTGCGCTGGATCTTGGGAGCGGAAGGAATGTCAGTGCTCTTCTTCGCGGAGCCGATAGAGAAGACAGGACTCTCCCACTTATCGCCCTTACGGGCAAGCTCCTTGTACTCGGTAGCCTTGGTGCTGATGCCACCAGGGAGGTCGATGTTGGGGAAGATGCTGTCCTCCTTGGTCATAGCAATGTTGGCCTTCTTGTCAGAAGCAGCCGCCTCAGCCTTCTTCTTGCCCTTAGTAAACTGTTGCTGGGCAGCAGTGTAGTAACGGTTGTAGATGTTGGGGGCGTTCTCGGGGTGGTTCTTCGCCTCAGCAGCAGCACGGTCAGCCTCCTGCTTAACCTGGAACAGCAGCTGGTCGAACTTGTTGCACTGGTCCTTGATGGCTTTTTCAACAGCTTTCTGCAGAGGAGGGCTAATAACCTTGAGCATGAAAGGCTTGAACAAGGAGAAGAGCAGCTTATGGTTCGACTTCTTGACTTTGATTTGGAGCTTGTTGAAGTCAACATCGACCTTCTCAACCTTGAAGTAGTTCTGGCGATCCTTCTTGTCGGCGGTAGACACCTTCATCTTGAAGGAGAAGCCATCACCAGGGAGGATGATGTCAGCAACACCAGTGTCGGTGATAGAAGGGAAACCTTGCTTGCGCTTGATGTGGAAGCTCACATCACGAAGATCCATCTGGATGCCAGCAACCTTGACCTCGACGGTCTGATGGCTCTTGTTGGCGATCTTCTTGCGGCCCCATCGGAAGTAGTGCTCGCTGGAAACCTCGAAGATGTTGGGGGCAAAGTTGTCACTCTCAAGGACTAGGTTCTCGATGATAGCATCGACCTGGGAGTCGGTGTACTCAATTCGAGGAATTGGGATGTAGGCAATGTTCTCAAGGGCGGCGGGGAGAATGACATCCCTCAAGTCCTTGAGCAGATGAGGCTTGAAGACAGGCTTGCCATCCTGGTCGTTGCCAAGGTCCTTGAACAGCTTCTGGAGAGACTCGGCAAAAGCGTGGTTCTGAGGGTCCTGGTCGAACTGGTCGGCAAGGAACTTGATCTCATCGACAACACGGTCGGTGTGACCGCGGTATTTGTTGCGGAGGAGGTATCGTCCCTGGTCGTAGAGCTGATCCCACTCACGAGTGGACTCATCCTCGAGGATGTAACCCTGCTGAAGGAGGCATCGGCGGATGTAAGAGTCCATAGCCTTGAACCAGTCCTTGAGCTCACGGTCGTTATCAGCGTCGCGGTAAATCTGGCCGATGGCCTCCCAAAGATCCTCAGTGGAGGTGCCGTTGGCGAATCGCTCAATGATAGTGCGGAGGTCACGCTCGGCGGCAGCAAGGCCACCACGTGCGTCCTTGGCAGTATCGGTAGAGCCCTGGCCAAGAGTGCGGCCGTGGCGGCTGTAAGTCTCAGCCAGGCGCAGAAGAGTCTGAATGGCCTGAGAGTAGTCCTCGTGCTGCTGGCACTCCAGAATCATCTTCTTGAGACGCCAGATGGTCTGGTCCTTACGCTCCTGGGGCATCTTCTTATCGAAGTAGTTGCGGGCCTTGCGACGGTACTCCTCGTTGCGCTGCAGGATGCTCTCCTTGGTCTCGGGGTCGACCTTGTTGTCGAGCTTGGCCTCAGCAGCCTGCTTAGCGGCACTCTTACCAGCCTGGGGGTCGGTCTGGCGAGCGGCGTCACGAGCGGCGTCGGTTGAAGCAGGCACGGAGCTGGAAGGCACATTACCAGTCTCGGTACCGGTGGTGACCTGAGGGTAAGTGCCCTGCTGAGCATTGGCCTGCTGGTTCTGCTGGAGCTGTCCGGGAGCGGCAGCGTTGATACCAGCAGCAGCGACGTCCTTGGCATCCTCCTTGGGGTTTCCACTGTAGAAGCCCTTAGCCTGCTGCTTCAGGTTGTCCTTGGAAAAGTCGGGAGCCTCATGCCAGACATTGTCCTGAGCAGGCTCGTCGATCTGTCGGAGCTGCTCCTGAGAGGGGCGGACACGGGCAGCAGCGTTGGTAGCAGCATCGCCAGCCATATCGCGGAAGAGGACTGTAGCATCAGAAAGAAGCTTTCGGAACTGTCCGTTGGTGATGAGAAGCTGGCCAAGGGTTCTCAAACCCTCAAGAGCTTGGTCACCATCCTGCTTGGCAGCGTCCTTGCTGATGGGGGCATTGGGTGTGTTGACACTCTTGGGGTCGAACTGAGTGGTCTGCCAGATGAAATCCTGAATCAGGTTGCCTTCGTTCTTGGACAGAAGGAGGTACTTGGCTTGCTTAATGGCGTTGGCGGCATCCTTGACGAGCTCTTGACCCTCAGCGGAGAGCTTCTCGTGGCGACCAGAGAGGGCGCGAGAGGCGAGGAAACTGCTTAGAGCGACATCAATTTGGTCGTTCTGGAGGAGAATGCGTTAGAATGTGAGGAAGAACAGAATCGCGCAGAGAATACTCACCGAAGGAACCTTGCCGTTCTGGAAGGCAGAAATGATTCCGTAGACTTGGAGCTTTCGGTTGACATCGGCCTCCTTCGTCTTGATGTCTGTAGGTTTGTTGACATCTGGGGCTCCGGGCATGATGGGCAAAAGTGTATGGGGTATCTCGTTATTAAGTCGTTATGCCACGGAAAAGTATGACGTTAAAAGTGTTAGGACGTTAACTCTTTTTTAGAGTTGAGGTGACGATGATGTAGTGGATAAGAGACGAAGCAGAAGTCGATCTTATTATGAGAGGGGAGGATGCGTTGCGTTGCGTAGCGTAGGCGTAGGTAACAAATGAAGAAGCTGTTGTTTGGTATCCTCTGGTAAGGGATGGGTATCACAAAGCAGTTGGGTATTGTATTAGGTAGGAATTGGTATTGGACGGGATTTGAAATAATGTAAGAGCTCCTGGTACGAGGCAGGAGAGAGACAGGATTAGATATACTTTTCTAAGGGAGACTGCCCGTGACAGGCAGGTACGAGAGTTACACGGTAATGGCTGGATCCGGGCAGTGGTTGGCGTGGTCTTGGCTGGGCTGGAGAAAGGGAGTGTGGTCAGTGACGTTGACGTTTGCTAAGGGCGACGATGTTGATCGAGGACGTCATCGGTCGATTTGCAAAGATGCCCTGTGTTGACCAGGCCCAGCGCCAACGCACGCTACTGGCCAGGCCACAGACCAATTTTACAATACAGGCACCTCGATGCGCTATCGTTTCTGAACAAGGCACTCTTTCTGGGCACTCGCATTGGCACTGGCATCGGCATACATTCATTGAATCACTGGTTTCTGTTACCACCCTGCTTGGCTATGACACTGAAACCCGGAGCGAACCCTACGGCCAAGCAAAGGTACCCTACCAGCCTGAGCAGGGGTCAAGCAGATGATCGAGCTGCAAACAAGCGGAAAAAAGGGAAGAAAAATGTACCAGGGCAGCAGCTGAAGATAACCAGGGTGGGCTCTAGACTCTCTGCATTGCGATGATGATACTGTTTGATCCCCAATTAGAGGCGTTTCGAAGCGTCAGGGGAGACGGTCAAGCCTCGATGTTTATACCCTTCGCGATGCTACCTCGACGACGATCTAGACCTCTTGACCAGCAACAAGATGACGGCCGTTGATAATCACAAGCCACGGCTTATTCTTCACTACTGATGATATTATTTATTGCATTCACTGTCTAGATAATGGGCCCATAAAGAAGGTTACCCCAGGCAAACCCTTCAAATGTTGCTACATGTCTCACAGACCCCTGGCTGGTTCGCTGAATCAAAGCCTGGTAAGACAACACTACAGGCACCAGTCTAGCCAAAATGAAAGATGCATTTTCTTTTTCATCTGCTTGCTCTGCCAAGAATTGGCCGGTAGTGCAGGTCCGACTCTGTACGTCTTGTCTTCCTGAATTCTTGTGTTTTGCGTGCTGTTACTGAATCGAAGAGAGTGACATGGCATTGGCATTGACTTTGGCATTTGACTCTGACGTTGTATCTTCAAAATTTGATATCCTCTTATTCCCGAGGTCCTCTCCGGATCGCCAATGTGGATTCCGTCGATGATCTACCCTATCCCATGATATAATTCCCACCTTGCAGAGCTGATGCTGAAGGAATTGACAAGGATGTCAATGAGCCTCCGATATCTTTTCTGCCCGTCAACTAAAAAACAAGGATGCCCATTCTTGGCTGGAATGATGAATTTTAAAGCTGGCGGATGGAGCTGGAGGAGCTGTTATTGTTTAGCTTGCTCCCCACGTTCTCCACTGACTTTTAACATGATGGCCTCATAGGTAAACCCCAGCTCATGAGCTGCAAATCGTCATAGCTCAATTTCCAGACCCAATGACACGTAATGGCCTAATTTGACGTTTTGTTGATTGAAGTCGACACATCGCGTGCCCTGATTTTCCACTTCGTTTCCTAATTCTCTACGGCTGCTGTACGAGACTGGGTAAGCTAGACTAATCTCCAGGTTAACTAACTAATCAGTCAATGGCTGCGTGGGCTGATCTTGATCGTGTCAAAGCTTTCGTTAGCTCAACGTTAAAGTGAGCGCTTCATGACGTCACATCATAGCTTGAGCTCCCAAGAAAAAAGGGAACCGACGTCAGGTCTGCTAGGGTTTCATCACAAACCAAAATCGGCATCAGGATGCCATGAATTAGGAAAATTTTGAAAAAAAGATGGTGTAGAGCTACGGCAAGGATTGCATCGAATCTGGCATCTGGATACGGCATATCCAACAGGTGGCCGATATCACAGCAAGTATCCAGCTCATGTTTCCACCTCTTCAGTCACATTAACAGTGCATCAAATGCTGTCGAGGCAATTCCCGTGTAAAACAACCACAACCACAGCATGTGAGAGAAACTGAGACGTCGATCCGATGAGTTTCGTAGCGACTGTAACCAAGGGTGACTGACGTCTTGGCCGTGTTTCGTCAGTCAGGTTTAGCTTTGAGCCACTGAACGCATCAATGCATCCCTCCCATCACATTCTGTCCACGCAAGCAGCGTCTCCTTTCAGACTTCAATTTACTCCCCGTGATTCTTGATAAATAAAACGACCGACACACGGAAAGAAATGACTCTTTGAGTTTGAATTTTATCCTACATAATACCGATTGATCTCCTCAACCTAAATCACCACGCATCGCTTTTCCTTCTCGGGCTGTCGTGTGCTCGGCTGCTGGGCGATCGTTGCCCAGTCAAGCTCGAGCCACAACGTGCTCAGTTGCACAAGCGTAGCATCTAGATTCCTGGAGACTCATCATCTCCGTCTTTTTGAACTGCCATCGGTAACACTGCCGATGGCTGGACGCGGCACATGGCTACAGGCTATGCAAGCTTCCATCTGCTACAGGGACAAAAAGTATCATCTATAATGCAGTGTCTCATTGTGTTCCTGTCCGTAGTATCTTTTGAGGGAGGCATCCCGTTCAGATGAACCTTCGATCTCTAGGGTAATTCTCGTTGCCAAGCCGACGTGGTGTCGATTTCGCGACATGCTCTGACTAGCAAGACTTTGTTTGTGGTCACAATGGATGGGGAATCCGTGAAATGGATCTTTCTCTCCACTCAAGTTTTAGTTGATGCGTTATGGTTTTAACTATACCATATAATGCGAGAATATCTGTTCGTAACTGTTGAACATGACCCTGACACCAACACCAATCGGATACCAAGAAGCACAAACAAATGAACACTATACTAACCCAATCCAATGCAAGGATTTCCCCGCGGTCAATAACGTCACACATTATCATCATGATGTGTATAAGAATATAACTAATAGCTTAGCTCTTTGTGCTGTCGAATTTTACGTTTATCCATAAAGTCGGCGATCCTCCACCCACTTATTTTATCCACCTCGCCTAGATCTGTCTCTAGATGAAGCGAAAATAGTTGATTGGTGAATCATCAATTGGGCAAACTAGGCAGGCTATTGACTGGCCAGGTGAAGATAATTTGAGGTCGTATTGTAATCTACTCACTTCTAGGAGGTAGTCATGCCATCGGAACCCCCTTCTTAAGGCCACTTGAAAGATCAAACACCTAGCTTTCCATACTGATGATGTAGGATGGAGGAAGAATGCACTCTAAGACTCTAAACGCAGATAAAAGTAAATATTGCTGATTTCACCTCTGAACGCCATCTATGCCGATTCGTTATGCTACATGCATTCCCATAATCCCAGTGTCATTCCTTTTCACGATGTTGGTTCTTCAGCCTTTGATCCAAGGTCGTTGAAAACGCTAGCCTTGACCTGATTCGCCACCAGGCCAGTCCTCTCCTTAGATGCAATGAGGCTGGCTTCCCTTGCCAGCTTGTCCACGGCCTTGTCAGAGCTCTTATGGCTCGTACCCATCATGCCTTGTCCAGCTCGGCTTCGTGTGATGCCTGTTGTCGCTTCCTTGATCTTAGAGCTCAAATCGAGCATCTGTTTGTTGCCATAGTCGCGGTTCGTGATCAGTGGGTTCTGGCTGAGAGTCTGTACCCAATACTTGTGCCAGAGGAGCTCGAGGAGATGCGAGTCGAGAGAGCTCTTGAAATGGGAGACTTCGAGACTGTAGTAACGGCTCGCATGAGCACCAAACTCTGCGGCCTTGGCGAGAGGCACTGCTTGGAAGCCATCAGAGGTGGCTGTGCCATTACCGGCCTGGTGGTCCTCTGGGTATGTTCTGAAAGCGCCGATGTCGACCTTGCCTGAGTTGATAGTACGATCGGGGTCGATAACTACGGCAAGGAAAGGGTCCTGCCACTTCTGCTGCATGGCCTCTGTATCGACATCGATACCGCTCAGCCAGCATCCGTAGCCTGGGTGACTGTGGTACCAGCCCACCACGTTCTCCTGTCGGCCCTGCGCTCGACATAGATCAAGGTACTCGACAAGGTATTCGTTCGCTTCGCCTTGTGCGTTGACACGAGTCTCTGTTCCTTCAACGGGCAGTCGGAATGCGTCGGTGACGATAAATGTGTCCTGGTGGGTGTAGCCTTGCATCAAGCCCATGACCTCGAGGTTGCCACCGGATCGCGCGTGCATGGTCATTTTTATGAGAGCAGTAGCGCTTATTCGCACATGCTTGAAGTAGTCTGGTGTTTGCTTCCATGCCTTTTCGTTGTTTATGGCCTTCTGAGCATCGGCGTCGAAGTTGTAGAGAGCGTCGCGTTTGGGATCGACTAGCTGGATATTGTTGTCCAGCTCTGGCACATATGTTAGCTACGAAATTATCCAAATTTCAACAGGGAGCCATACCCCAGGCCTTCAGGGCAGATGCCTCCATCGTGACGACTCCGAATGTTTGATAAGGTGCGAAGGTAGAGTGTGAGACACAGCAAGTTGACGTTGGTTCCAGGCAGACAGGATGCCCCGCCTCTTATCGATAAGAGCTACGTAGAGGTACCTATGTACATTGATATGCACGGAAGAGACCTGGAGTCTTGAACATTCTTCTTTCAAAAGTCTACTTGGTGAAGAGGCAATGTGCATGTCTCTAATTTGTTACTCTGCTGTGCTTAATTGTCATCTTTCTTATGTTGCTTTTAGAGTATGTGCCTCTTCTAATCTTTATCAGGGACGCAATAGAGAGATGCAGCCACCTCATATAAATGGTACAAATAGACTAGGCATGTGGATTATGAAAATGAAAAAGCAAAGGGGAAAAGAAAAGAAACCTTGCAGGACTTACGAGTACATAGACTGCTAGTTCGCTTCCATTGAGATTCATCGTTGCCCGACTCTTTTTTCGTTGCGACCTTGGAATTCTATGAACATACAAGCCAACTGCTCGCATGCGCAACAACAAACGAAACGCAAAAGTCAAATGCGGACCTCAGTACCCATTTAAGAGCGGGCAGCTTTGGAGACATTGGTGTCATCCTGCTGAATCTATGGGTTCATCATTGACGCGACTATGTCCAGCGGTAACGTGTGATAAATAACTGCCCGCTCAGATGTGAGTAGGAGAAAAGGGAACCGACAAAAATGTGAGGAGCTTGGTGATTATATGCATACATAAAAAGTATGTTGTCTAAGATGACACTACACTACACCAGGCAGCAAAGCTCTTAAAAACCTAAAAAGTAACGAGAGCTGACCTGGGGCACGGTATATGGCATGGGTATTCATTTGATATGATCTGTCACAGCAGGCCTTTCTGAAGCGAGTCTCGCACGGGACGTGCGCTTAATCATGAAGGACGGGTCAACCTAATCCCCCTTCTCCACGGCTTTCCCCTTTTCCTCTCATCATCTTTATGTATCTCCTTTATTCTCTGGCTGTTCCATTACGAACAGGTCTCGCTGCTCTCTACTGGCAATGAGCTTGAGCACTTCCACTCTTTGGGTCGAACTTGCTATCTCGCCCACTGGCTTCACGCAACATCCCCGCCCCAAACTCTTCGCTTTCGAGCAAATTTGTGAGCTGCTTCACAGCGTTGTAAACATTACACGGCACTACGCCTCTCAGTTTAAGGTGGGTGATGATGCAGACAATGATCATACTGAGGGTTCAGAGTCCAACGATGAGATATTGCAAGCGATCGTGCCTTTCACTCAGCGCAAGCTGACCTCCCCATACCTCTCTTAGGAAACTAGACGGCACCAATATGACCATTCAAGAGATTATCCAGGGAACTTGAAAGTATGTTCTTTCTTCTGCTGTTCTAATGACTCTTAACAGCTAATAGCAAATCACGAGTCCTTGTCCTCGCCATCGACTAGCATTCGCGATCATGAACTCAAAATTTGTCAGTATATTCTGACACTGGCAAGGCTTCTCTTGCACTCTTAGGTCAGTTGCTTCTTCAAACTCAGTGACTTTGTCCTGGTTGGCTAAAGGTCTTGTATACAGTTGCTCTAATGACAGGCCGCTGTCAAAAAGGGAGGAAAATGGTTGATAGCCAAGATGTCTCGCCAGTAAGAGGTCTATCAAAGAATGCTTGAAGCCCAAGGGAAGGCGGGGAGAACATCGGCCAGACATTGAATGAAGGAAAGAGAAAGGCAACATAAGACATACTGCACCGAAGACATAGAAAGTCCTGTACCTCAGTTCCCAGTATAACAAACAGCCCACTGAGTGGACTGCCTGCTTGGGTATCTCTACCCTGCAGGTTGGATAGCTTCATTGCCATGGGTTCATCACAGGCGACTACTCCTTGTTACGAATTTTGGTGAATGGAAACTGTCCGCTCGGCTTCCACTGAGTAAGAGACAAAAGGAGAAATCACCATTTGAGCGAGGGGTGGGCCTTTATAAACGCTGTTGGAATTATGCTTTCTTTCACATTATATAAAGTTTGCTGAAAATTCGAAGAAATGGAAAGTAGATTGGATACAAACTGACTTACTGATGATCTTGATAAATGACAGTGAAGAAAAACATTATACAAGCCAGGTTTCCATGCTACCCAATTACAATACTTAAACAGCCCCGTTCAACGGAGCAGAAGGATACAGAGGTCGCTGAATGCCCATACGGAACCGAGGAACACGACCCATTCGGTTCAAGGCAGTTGTGGGCATTCTGAGGACTGTTTCGCGATACATAGTCTGTGTCTCCCACTCATATGAGCATCCGATAGCTCGCTGCATGCCGCCCTCGGAAGCGCAGAACATGAGAGTGACAGGTGGCCTGACAGCCTCGAACAAGGTCAACTCCATGTTGTACGTATCTACAAGAGTGAAAATCTGTCATTGTTAGTCAAAAATCAAAACACCACAGATAAGAAAGTGACTCACCCTCATGTCGCCTGGGCGAGCTTGCTTGGCCGCCTCAACCTTCATTCTCACCTCCGGATCCTTGTAGGGATCCACGCCAACACGCTCGCCATCATCGTTAACGATACTTCGGCTAAGAGGGCTTCCATTGGTGCTCCAGGAGAAGCGACCAAAGTTACCTCCAAAGATGGACCTCTCAATAGTGGGGGCATTGAGGTGTCCTTCAAAGCCAAACATCTCGGCTTGAGTATCAGCAAACTTGCCACCGTAGATGACTCGAACCAGGTTAGGTGTGATCAACCAGATCCAGACGAACAGGAGGAGGAAGATGACACCAGGGATAATCATGGCAGTTCCAGAACTAGCGCTGGCGCCAGTGGAATAACCGTACATGCTGCTAGAGGAAGAGGAAGAAGAGCTGCTGGCGGATGCACCACTTGCGATGAGTGCAATTGCAATGATGAAGAAAGCCCCGTTCCATTCAACTGCCAATGCCGCGAAGTATCTCTTCCAGGACGGTCCCGTAGACCAGTAAACTGGGTAGAAAGTCTTCCAGCGGATGGAGATGCCCCAGGCACCATCGATGATGATGGTATCGTTGTCGGCGATACCAGCTACCTGACAGTAAGGAGTGATGTCCCAGAGAGATGACTCATAGGCATCCTCCATGTCGTACCATGGCTGATCCTTGGCTCGGGGGAGTGTGCAGATGTATCTCTCAAGAAGTCTGTCAGAGTCATTTGCCAAAGACAGTCTTGAGAAGGCTTGGAAGGCAGTGTCGGTTCTGTCAACTTGAGGTCGAAGTCTCAAGAGACCCATGAGGGCATAAGCCTGGTCACCAGGGAGATACTCCGTAGTGTGACGGCTGTAAAGACACTTGAGAGCCAAAACAGCTTGCTCCAGACGACTCAGGCTGATGGAGCCGAGATAATGATCAATGAGATGGCGAGCCACATCAGAGTCCATGTAAGTCCACACCAGAGCAGCGAACTGGTTCTTGGCAACAACCAGGGGGGATTGGAGGTTTCCGTCACGAGTGTAAACCGAGATAGTTCGGCCTGGGCTCAGGAGAACCTCGGGGAAAGTCCACATTCGACTTCCCCACTCGCGAAGAAGAGACTCAGTATTGGCCTTGCCTGAGTGTCCAGCCTTGGCACCCTTACCCCTACCAACAGCGATGACCATCCTGTCTGAACCGCGGAGAACATCTGAGATGCGATAAACATCGGACTCAAGTTCATTCTCATCACGCATGCAGCTACAAGCGATCCAGTAGGCAGGAAGCTTTGCAGCTCGACACGCGGTCTCAGCGATGTGATGAAGGGCCATCATGTCCTGCTCAGAGCTATGGCTAAAATGCTCAGTAGAGTAGGCGACGAAGAGATAGGCAAGGTTTGTGTCTTGACCATCACTGTTCTCCCACTCGACAACACTGCGGACATCTACTCCTCTGTTCTCATCGTTGAATGGCTCACGAAGGAAGCAGAGATAGCGAGGTCGCAACATGCGATAGATCTGGTTGTTGCGAGCCATGAGGGATAGACCCTTGCGGTTCTCGAGCAAGTTACTCCAGACCTTGGCGTCGCCGTGATACCTGTAAAGAACAGGAGCATAAGCAAGGTTTCGCTTGATGACATTAGGCTTGCCATCCCAGAACTGCCGATATTAGTATACTTGTCATGATATCTCATTAATATGCAACTTACAACAAGAGCCATGGCAATAGCAGCCGGGAAAGTTCTCAATACCATGATACCCCAATCTTCCCAACTCTTGGGATCGTAGCTAAAGTCAATGATCCATGTAGCAATGCGCACCTTCATCGGAGCGACCTTGCGAACATAGGTTCTCTTCCAAGTTGAAGTGCCAGGGCCTTCATAGATGGCATCAACACATGCAACATACATGTTACGAAGGTAGCCGTCATTGTGGTGCAGATACCGATCCGAACGAGGTTTGAAAGAGACACGACCCGCATAGTCTCTATGTCTCATCTTAACCTCACTGCTCGTGTAAGTGTAACCAGGCTTCTGGTACAACACGGGATTGCGCCATCGGTAGATGGAGCGCGAGTCGAAGAAGTGCTTGCTTCCTTTGAGCTTGACAGGAAACTCCTTTTCAGAAACCTGAAAGCATTGTCAGTAAGCACTTATGATAAGATGGGAGAGTATTCACTTCTTTCTCATTGGGACTGGTCGAAGTCGTGAGGGGCGTGGTAGTTACGGGGACAATGGCACCTTTGTTCTGCTAAGAAATGTTCAATTTAGAGGCTAGAAACAAAAACAACCGCGAAAGAGCTTTACCATTGGCCCGTCCTGCTGACCACTGCTAGAACCCTGTTGATAAATGACACCTTGTTGGCCATTGTAGGCCTGCTATGGTCAGTGAGTGCAATAGTTGAGGATATGTTAGTTACTAACCATAGATTGTTGTTGGTACTGCATCGTGTTGTGAGTCTGGGTTTGTCCAAGAGGGATAGACTGTTGGTATCCTAGCGACCCAGGAGAAGCTGGATAGCTGTGGGACTGGGCCGAGAGTGGGCTTGTAGAAGGCGATACAGCTTGTTGATATGGATGAGTGTACGGCTGGTTCTGGTAGGACTGTAAAGGATGAGAGATTGGGAGGGTAAACGGGATATATAGAGGCTTACAACGACCGAGCTGCCTGGAGTATACGCACCACCGTGGGCTTGGTGCGGTACAGCAGGGGGTGGTGTCTGATTATACTTGGCCTTGTTAATACCAGTTCTCTGCAGATGAAAGCGAAGCCGACTTACATTGCCAACAGAGTTGGGATCCCAGTGCCCTCCGTGTGCCTATTACAGGTGTCAATGACTGAATGAAGCAAGGGAGAAGATGAGGGAGAAATACCATGGTTCAAATATGCAGAGCTGTGATGAACAGAAAGTGATAAAACGCGGGATGAAGAAAATAGAAAGGATCAAAGTCCTCCAGATCGACAGGTAGTTCTTCTCAACGCTAATAAATCACGAGCAAGCCCTGTGACATATCTCACAAAAAAAACCGCAGCCTGACTAAAAGGAGCTGAACATCAAGCTGAATGGGTACAACACACCATCCATCCTATGAGAACACAGGGACTAGACTACAATTTTCGACCATATCTCGATACAACGCACTTGATGGCGCCGTTCCTTTTGCCACCGGAGAGCTAGACCTTTCAGGAAGTGCAGAGCCCCTTCATTCTTGAGTCCAGAGCCTGATACCATGGGGTGTGGGCGTGCGTGACTATCCTTGACCTCCTGCATCCAGCCTCACAATATTGCAACGGTGATAGGCCACTGGTGACAGGTTGAGAGACGGCATCGTCAGTGGAGTTGAGGCTCGAACAGCAAACTATTAGAAGCGGCTGAGTCTCGATATGTCACTCGCAGCCCCTGCAACTGTGATATTGGCTGTTGGGGGCCGGGGGTTAGGACTATTCAGCCATGGCGTTACCCGCGGCTTTGAGAGTATCACAACCCCTGACATATTGTCGCAAACGCAGTGTCAGGATAGGACGCCTTGTGAGGTTTGGCGCCATGGAGAGGAGCTACGGGGGACCCCTTGACCAAAAGCGGCATGCTGGGCGACTTGAAGATGTCTCACCAGGGATTGTCATTGGGCTGTCTTTCCAAGGATCTATTTATCTATCCGAAAACCTCTCCAGGATCACTAATATTCCGTTTGGTTGTGAAACGCACATGATCAGAAGTGCGGGAGCTGCAAACGATAGCGTGGAGGCAGTAGCGAATAGCAGCATTGATAACATTGAACCCCTGGCCAGCGAGACTTTCAGCCCTGAGGAACTAGACCGGTCTGAGTGTAACCCAACCCGGGAGGTCGGGAAGCTTGATAATCTAAACTATATTATTTTTACGCGAGAGATGGACCAATGAGGTGTTGATCTTGTATCTAGACTCGTTGGTGGCCCATTTCCGTTCAGAGACGGGGATATGGCGTTTTGGTGGTTGAAACATGGCTTGGTCTAGACACATCTGAGGGCTGCAAGCTTGCGATATCCCTGAAATAGAAAAGAATACATGAAATGATAATGCACAATCACGACGCCATGGCCCTAGATGAAAGGGTTCGGCGCTTGTGCTTAGGACGAGCAAGGAATACAACTGAGGCCCCCCAGTGTTATAGACTGAGACTCTGGGGAGGACCTCTCCATCATAAGACAAGCAACGTAGCAGTCCATTCATTCGGTCAAAGTGACCGAACTGGAATCATAGAGCTGTAACTCACGACGCATTCACTATGTCCTGGACTCAAAGAGCTAATCCTTATGATGCCTTTGCTCAAGAGGCGACTCAAACGCCGCTCGCAGTTGCTTTCCCGCAATGGATGCTGAACATCTGGGAAGTAACTCATGGTAAGTGACTGGAATTCTTCGTTTGGAATCTCTCGCTGATTATTTGTAGATCACCCAGAAGGCCGTTGGTACCTGGAGCCTAACGCCCGTTGTCTGCGGCAGAGGGCAAGCTTGAGGATTGTGTAAGTTTGTCTCGATCCAGAACTGAATGATGAGTTTTGTTTTGCATCATCTGAAAAAGCAGAGACTTACAACGCCAGATTTGCACCTCTTGATCTTCCCCGCCGAGATGCCCTCTCCCAGTTCGTCGAGCTCTTCAACATCCTCAACATCCCCAGCGACTTCACCAAAGAACGTCTCCAATCTGTCAGTCACAGCTTTGGGCGCTCCACCGATGCTCATGGCTCCAGCTCGTGGTTTCACTTCCTCTGCAAGAACATTGACATCAAGCAAACTCCTGGAAATGCCCCCGAAATTGACAACCGTGCTGCTACAATGGGTTATCACATCTCTACCCTTCCGCAGGCGGACTACAGCTGGCATCGCGCGGGATTCTTTTTGAGAGTTGATAACAACGGATGTATCACGCTTGTTTGCTTTGGGGTTATGCAGAAGGTGAGGGAGAGGATTAATGAGTTTGTTGCTGCCAAGGCCTGGCAGCATGTTGCGACTGATCCATATATTCTGTTTGATCTTGTGTTTGAAGCTCTCTACTTCGAGGTTGATAACACGGTTTGGAAGATGAACACTGTTTTTGGTCCTCTGGAACATGCAAGTCGCCCACTTCCAATATGGATTTCATGCCTAACTAACTGATGGATCTAGTTGATTCTTGAGTATGCCAACTCTAAGAATATCCGCAAGATGAGCTCCAAGGTCCCATTCTCTGCCATGCACAATTGCGCCAAGCACATCATCCACATTGCAGAGGCAATTGACTCATGCATCATGCTTGTTGACGCAACTCTTCACAACGTCGGCAATCACCAACATCCAGAGCAGCCGACTCTTCGAGAACCAATCATCAAACAGTTGCGCGAAACTCTACAGTATCGGCGCTCGCTGTTTATGTCGAGCCAACTCCGCCTGAGCAGTCTCCAGAAACGCATCGACAACGCCATCACGCTATCATTCAACCTCGTCACTCAGCAAGACTCAATGGTGATGATCCAGGACTCCAATTCCATGAAGGTGATCGCAGCTATCACAATGATCTTTTTGCCAACGACTGGCGTTGCTACTGTCGTTGGGTCCCAGCTTTTTACATCTGAGATCCTGAAAGATGGTACAACCTGGGATGTCAGACTTACGCCATTGTTCTGGACTATGTGGTGGATTTCTATTCCTCTCACTGTCTTCGTAGTTCTGTTGGCTATCATATGGCACTGGTGGGTTCACACTGAATCTCCTACAGGAGAAGTTGTGCAGGTGGTTAAGAGGGCGGCGACGTTCAGTTCTTCCGGGACGAGAACACCACCTAATGGCAATGCCAAATGATGCGAAGTTGCAGCAGGTCACTTGGATCTTCATTTTCTATCGTTTCGACTTTGCTAAAGTCCTTTCTTTTGATGGAAGTGTATTATCTAGCGCCAAAGCCATATATATTTACTATGAATTGACATGTACAGCTACATTGCTCTTGATCTCGGTGCTACAAAATAACAGATGTATATTCATGGCCGACTCGCAGTCATAATGATAAGCCCAACTTGTGGGAAGAAACTTGATGCTCAGTACAAGTCAATATTGCATTCAGCACTTGAACACGGCAGGTCCAGGGATCTTGTAGGTAGTGGCTGTGTTCTCTATTAGCAAGGCTCAAATTTCAGCGCAGACGGGAGTATGCTCACCCTGGTAAGGGTTGTAGGTAACACCAGGGTCAGTGCTAGCATATGCTCCAGGAAAAGCAACAAGGTTTGAAGGAGTTGTGCTACCGGAGCCGGAGACCTTGAGCTGATGGCAGCCAGGGTAGAACTGGGCTCCGGGATATCCTGAGGCAGAGTGAAGAGCAATGAGTTCATGGCGGACAAGGTAATAACCAGGCTTGATGCACTCAGGAATGGTGTAGTTGACACCCGAGTTACCAGACTTCATCAAAGGGCTCTGGTGTGACAGCGTCAGTAATTTTATAACGTCGTATAATAAGGACTTTTACTTACGGTAGCCCAGTTGTTGCTGGTTCCATCACGTCCAGCCTCCTGAATCTTGAACCAAACCTTCTGGGTACCAGGCTGCCAAGTATCACAGCCTGAATCGGGGCAACGAGCCATGTAAGTAATGACGGGTCCAACATGAGAGTCAGGCCAGAGAGTCCACTTCAGGTTGACAGTTGACCCAGCCTTAGCATCGGCGTGAAGAGCAGCAGGTGAGCTTCCCTTGATACCACCAGCAGTGTAGCCGTTGCACTGCATATCGATGGATGTGACATCCTCAACAGGTCCGTTGCCTGGAATTGGGCGGGATATACGCTTAGGAACAGGGTTCATGTAAGGATCAGTGTAAGGATTGTAGAATTGATAGGTCTGCGTTTCAATTGTCCCGGTTTCTACGTAACCGTGGGCAGCAGCCAGGCCAGCAGTGGCGAGAAGAGAGTAGAGGAAGTGCATGCTGAATATCTTTCAAGCTATAAGGGTATAAGAAAGAGCTATAAGGTTGTACGAAAGAGCTGTAAGGTTATATGAAAGAATAATCCGAGTTCCGAGGTTTAGAAGCTTGACGATCACATCCTATCGTGAAAGACTGCCGTCTTATATAACGATGAGGATGATGTTGAATAGACACTAACTGACAAGGGCCGGTAGCATGTAGATGAAACACCCCCGAGTATTTCCACCATTCAAACAAATGTTTTTCAATACTTTAACTTTGGGCAATGTCATGATCTAAACAAACGCCAGGGTGAATTCCCCCATTGGGGAGTGAAAGCTCGGAGCTTCAATGATCATCCCAATTAAGCATCATACCTTATTTTTACTCCGGGACCGAATTGACAGCCATTGGCTCACATCTAGCTAAACGAGGATAGGCCAAGAATTTAGTTGTAAATTATCGGCCTTCTCATCATGACCTGTCGATGGGGGATTTTGAACTCGAGATAATTGTATACACCATCATCAAGCGCACGTGATACCAGGATGCCTTGCGGGCAATCACTGCATTGAAACACCAAACAGACAACATCACCATCACCATCACCATCAAAGCCCTGCCTATAAATTCGTCCTTAACCTTGCCAGATACTGTATCAAAATCTAATCGATCAGTTCTGAGCTACCATGTGTTTACCGCTGGAGGTCATGGGACTCATTGCCGAACATGCGGCTCAGCACATCATAAATGCATCCCCATTCATCCAACCCACGAATCAAGAAGAGGCAATAAAGGCGCAAGAACACCACCGTGACCTATTAAACCTAGTGGTTTCATGCAAGACCGTCTACAATCATAGTCGACACCTCCTCTACACCTGTCTAATCCTAGGGAATGCTACCGACATAGTCGCCGCTCTGGCCAATATTGTCAAACATCCACGAGTCGGACCGTCTATCCGTCATATAAGATGCTGCACGGAGCTTCATTCCGAAACAGAGCGGGACAAGGCTTTAGAGTATTGGCTATTGGACCACTCACAGGATGCGGCACTACTCCAAGACACCCTCAGGGCAGAAGGTCTACTTCCTCCTTGGTGGAATGAAACAGATATTCCTTGGACATGCTGGGAGGGATTTATATACGATGACTGTACAGAGGTTGCACTCTTAGCCCTTCTGCATATGGTAACGGAGTTAGAGACGCTTTCGTTCCAACAGCTTGATGCGGACCTCATTACAGATTGGGGACAAGTGCGAGATCTGCGAGCATCTTTCGCGCAAGCTCGGTCTGGATCACAACCCTTCTTGGGTTCGTTACGAAATCTTCACTTCGGTAGTGGGACCTTGGGTGGTATGGAAAACTTTCTTTCCAATCAACCGCACGAAAATCTAGAAGTACTGGTCCTCGATGGTATAGGTATTGAGGGCTTCAGCCGGTGGTCCAGATACTTTGAGTTCAAAGGTATTCACCTGAAGGAGCTTTACTTGGGAACAAAAAGTACATCTCCCAAAGCTGTCATTGATCCTCTTCTTGCTCGAAGAGAATGGGTCAATGGCAGGTGGGTTACTCCAGTACCAAAAGAGCTAGAAACCCAGTCTGAGGTGTGTTTGGGAGGTGAAGAAGCATGGAGGCTTTCGGTTCCAGAAGCCAGGGATACTATGGATTGCCTCAAAGACTTCAAAAATCTCAGGGTGTTGGATGTTGTTTTTGACAGGCCTCCTGATTGGCCATCTAGGCCGTTAATTGCACTCAAGAACATTGCTTCAGGGTCCCTGGAGGTTTTTAGAGTCGAAGGATACCCATTCAGAGTTGTTCCAGGAGATTTTGGACCATGTAACACTGAGTATGAACAGGCTTTTGTTCCAAGGTTTGATACGGTCGAGTAGGTTAGGGTTATATTATCTAGCTCAACACTCTTTCTTCAACTAAGGGGCGTCAATAACTTTGCTCCTTAGACAAGGCCATTGTACTCCGGTTACTTTTAGAGAGATATCTTAACCTAACGTATGGCAACTATTGCCATGTTGCCGGGTCCCTGTTGGATTTCCTGCTCCTTGTCTAATTGTCTACGAACTTGGGATAAACGTGGCCTAGTCTTAGTTCTTTTGGCCTCCCTTGTAAATGATATTTACTTTACTTACATCCATAACTTGATGTCAGTCACATATGCCATACAATGAACATGCCGGATTTTTTTGACCTATCTGAGGAGGAACCCACAACGTTCCCACTCAGATTCCCACTTCGACATTCTAGTAGGATCGAAATCTCCTCTAAACACTCTCCTTGGAACTTCCAAAGTTCTTGCCAGCAACTTTCAACTTCCCGCCACTTCATGTCCACCCGAAAGACGACAAGGCCTCCCATCTTCCAAGATGTCACCAGGCTTCTTGAAGCAGGAGCAAAAAGGTCAAAAACATACAACAGCGGGGATTCGCTGGTCGTCACCGACCCAACTACTAATCCGCCCCTTATCAGCTTATCTATGGGAGAGCGGACGGGATCCCGAGTTCTCTGATAGGTATGGTCGTATGTGAAAGATCGTGGTGTTGAGAAGTCTCAAGAACAGACCAACACAAGCACACAACGCTGATGCCAAGTGAATACATTAACAGATGTGATATGGGTTTATTAGTCCTATATCAAAACATATTACAAACCTTGAAGCTTCTTCCGACTGAATGGACTGTTCAGAAATGTCTACAGTGTTGTTGGTCATGCCTTCGACCTTGCGATACACTGCTGTCATATCGTTGAATCATAGGCGACTTTAACCCCTCTTGGAGAGATTGAGCCCTACATATTCAGGAAGTTCTGTATATCCATCACCTAGTTTCTCTATCGGCTATTCAATTTGGATAGTGTCTAGGTTCATGATAATGAGCTTGGTACCTATCGGAATGTTTGAAGAAGAGTGTTTATCATCAACTGCCGAGCCACCAGTGAAGACAACAAGACGATTGAATCAGTTCTTCTTGCTTGCAATTTCTTTGAGTTCCTGGAGTAGAGCCATTGTAGGTAATCAAGTGTATTCTCAGGATCGTTGGAGAAAGTTGAGTCTTGATGCTTGTTTCGGGTGTTGCTTCTGACAAGGCATATTCATAGCCGTAACACCGAAGCATAAAACGGATCCAGTATTGATCTGTATTAATACCTCTGTAATTGGACCTAAGACACAGGCAGTTGGGTAAACTCAAGAAGATTGCCATACGTCTCTTCCCAGGCGGGGTACGAGAACCAAGTTACAACTCGATAATGTAAATGGATGAAAGATTGGAAGATACAGAAAATAGGACTACCCTGTAGTGATTCCAGATATCAATGAGGTCTCAATTTCGCTACGACAATTGTCTCGCGTCCTCCGTCCTCTATGGAGTGTCTTTCAACTCTGTGCGACAAGCAACGTCGCTGGTTTCAACACACAAGACTCGACCTTAAGAATGATCATTACATCACTTCAAAAATATGCCGAGTCCAATAAATTCGTAAAATTTAAGTAATAGCGTACAATGACCCTGTCAATGATGTTATACCCGCTCGATGACGGAGTTCGGCAAAGTCACACGCCTTTATGATGTATGGATCGGACTCAATGCCAATTACCCTGTACGAAAGGAACGATCGTGAGAAAGGAACGGGATAGCTTGGATCTTTGAGATAACGTGCAAAGAACAGTTTTGCAACCCTCGAGCTTGTGTTCGAGTTTGTCATATGACGTTAATTTTTACTGGTGTCACCAAGCTTAGGAGTTGTTGTATCAACTATCAAAATATCTTGTGATCATGGGTGCAAGGCTTCAACTACCCTGTGTCCTGACATGTCTCAGCCTTTTGAAGTAATTTGAACAGTTTGTACGACACCTTGAACCTTGGTATTGAACTTATTTGCTCCTCTAGATGAAATACCCCAGATCGTTGGAAGCGCTACTCACCAGGATCTGACAGAAACCCGAAACAGAAGCAACCCTTCTGGAAGAATGCGACGGTTACAGCCAAGATGCAGCTTTTCATTCTTTAAGCATCCAAATGTTACCAATCCCCGGGGCGCAAGAAAACTTCTGACATTGAATCTAGGTGCTAAAAATATTTAGTCTAAGATCCTCTAAATCTACACTAAATTATACTAAGTTTACCTAAGGCTTTTTGTCACTTAGGTTAGAGGCCCCAAGTTTTGTTGCCTCCTCTTGTCAATCTGCTCCAATACTTTGAAAAGGCCTCCCACCCTCGTCGAGTCGAGTGTAACCATACGTAGTATCAACTGAGATTCAAGATCACGCCACTTTGAAAGCAAGCTTTGCCGGCCCATTCCCTTGGAATAATGCGTGCGCTCAAACATGTAACATAAAACATGAGATATCAGTTTGTATCTCATGCTTGATAGCTTGGCGAGCAGCTTGAATTTGGTGACACGTACGGTACTGCCGACAGCTCACCAATATCGGCGAGATCATCGATCTTTTGTTTGTTTATGTCTCAACTGTTTTGAATTGAGTTCGACACGAAAGATGGATTTGAGTAACCTTAAAAGCCATGCAGGCTTCCAGAGAAGAGCCTATGGGCATTCAATCATCGTAATGCGTTATGGATTCTTGGATATGGATGCATGCGATAATGCCGCGGCCTTTCCTAGGCTAACTCGCTCACCAGGACAATCTGAATGAAGCATCATAGGTCAATAATAACGGGCCTCACATCCAATGCATCCATGATTTGATGTCGACCGTCAGTGTTGATCGAAACGTGCTGATAAGGATGTCTCGGATGCTGCCTTGGTGCTGTTTGGCCGTCCCATAAAGATCAGAATTTCCTTTCAGCATGGTACTTTTGTTTTCAGCACTCGCTGTTTTATGCACCTCGATCGCAGATGAGGCCCGATCAAGTCACGCAATCTCGTTCTTCTTTCTCTTCTGTCTTCTAGGTGATGTCGCTTGGCCATCGTCATGAAGCAGCGGCTAACAGTGGGCTGGGCAACACACTACCTGCACGCTGAACTGCAAGCGGTAACCCAGCAAACTAGTGAAAGTACGTATTTGTTTGACGGAATAAACACCAAAATTATTGGCGATCTGGCGCGGAATATCGCAGGTTGGGGTGAGGCACGGAGGCTGGCGGGCATTAGCCAGTCGAGCGGACTGCAGATCAACGACAGGACAGTAGAGGGCATGAGAGGACATAAGAGGAAAGACCAGAGCGAAGAGAGGAGCGGCGGACGCTGCACAGCCCAACCCCAAACCTGACAGGCCGCCCAAGGGTCATCTCGTAACTAGTCCCGTGACGAAAACTGACAACGGCTGATTGAAACATGGGCTTCGCGGAAGCCTAAGCTAGGCATCCGAGCGATCTATTTAGTCTGGTGAATTTAGGCTGCTCACGAGTTGCGTAGACGAGTACGGAGTACGCGAGCTTTGAACAACACAGTAAGACAGGTCAGCCTCAACACGGCACCCTGGGCTGAATTGCCTATCCAGGAGCAAATGCAAAGAAGCTCAGCAGTTTAAGTTTCATGGCTGAAATCTCGATCTGAGCATCATCAATAACATCTAGATTGCTAGGCAGGACTGTCGCAGTAGCTGGCACGCGAACATGCAATTCCCCACAACTCTGCAGCATTGCAAAGATGACCAAGAAAGATAGGTAACAAGTCAGTGCAACCCCAGATTCACATTCGAATGAACAAAATTACCAACAGCAACTATTTGTCTCTCAGACCCTGCAGAGTGTGGGGAACAGACCCCGCGTTTTTGGCAAGCCAGTGGATGACGGGGCGCAGGGCCAAAAGCCAAGCACGAATAGGGAGGCAGCGATAAGAAAGACACTCAGAGAACTGAGATGGGACTGAGAGCACGAGGGAAGCTCTGGGAGGGGGGGTATTAGAGTTTTGGCCCATGACCAAAACGAGTCGAGAACCACTTCAGCTGTGACAGCTCAAATCCTGTTCTCGTGACTCAGTTGGGGCAAGATAGAGAAGAGGTTGCCAGTGATGTCACGGCGATCACGGCCAGAGAAAAAGTGAACCAAGGAAAAAAAGATAAACAATTTTCGGAACATTGATTATACCAAGGACGCACAGGGGGAGGGCTCCGATCAGCAGTGCGAAAAACAGGAGTGTGGTGTTCTCTCTCCTGTAGGAATGAACACCTGGCGATCAACAATGGACTCTTCTCTGGTTGAGCACTGAGCCTAAGAGAAGGGTTGGGGTTGTGTTCATGTTACTGTGCGTCACCACTAATCTTCACCCTCCCACCATCTGAAGAACACTGGAATTCAATCGCGGGGAGTTGACTGGCCAGGCTCAAAGGGGAGAGCTGACCCATCAGCACCAAAGGCATGGCGTCACTCAAGAAAGCGAATCAATGTCTGGCACAAATGGTCGTTATTCGTGCATCCAAGACCCTGCAGAAAATGACAGCAGGAGGGTTTTGAGGCCCCCTGACTTTGTTTCTTGTACAGCGTGATGTTCATCCCACAAAAAGTCAACCGCAAGAATGCCGTTTTGTACACGTGCTCACAACAATGCAACAAACGAAAAGTATAAGGAATGACTGGTTCCGGGAGGTGCTTACGACAAGCTGGGCTTGATTGATAGTGCAACCGCCGGACGCGGGTGGAAATCACGCGGGAACGAAGAATGGGAAAGTATAGATAAGAGATTCCCGCCCCGAGGCTCCGGTCGTGCTTTTCGGGCGAGGCCCGGAGTAGCCGCTGAAAGACCTCCGGTTCGGCCCTCTCGTCTCTCCACTGACTCGTGGGTCGCCACGTTGAGGGCTCTCCAAGTGCCGGACGAGTAAGTTGTAGTATCAGAAGTCGTGGCGATGATCAGAGTGAAGCTATATAGATATTATTTCGTTCCGTCAGCAATACCGACCATTCCGATCGGATAGAGCACGATAGATTGCTATCGTAACGCTCACTGGTGGCTGGCTAGATGCTCGGTGAGGTGTCTTATCAGCTCGGGCACGCGATAAAGTTCCGAAACGTGACCCCCAACTTGCACTAGGATTCATCAAGAACCTGCTACCTTTAGTAGGAATCGTAGGCAGCTAGACTCAAACAGTCTTCGTATCTCGCCCATCAGTTGTGCTCCAGATACTGGCACGTATCTATCATATCATAGGCAGGGGAAGTTGCTGGGTTCTGAGTGGAACAAATCTAAACGGCTCCTTATCTGTTGCGCCAGCTGGCTCCTCTCTATTTGTCCTGTCCTTTCAAAAGCTCTGGTCAGTCCACTGTCACATTGATGAATTGTGCAGCTCATCAAATCCCTTTGAGATCCTTGCATGCGATATTGCTCGACTGGACAACCAGCCTGACCAATTCTCACCCATTTTCCTTCCGTGTGGCCGATAAAAGTGTGAGCGAGGCTTTGACACGGTTACTGACAGCTACAAGGGCTGTGCTCTTCGTTGGCGCTTCGAGCGGACCTTGGACCCCGAAACACAAGCTTCCTTGTGACTCGCCAGTTTGACCAATATTTGTGATTTGGCTTTTGAACTGTCGAGCTCAATCTCAGACAATTGCTTGGCACGGTGCCCTGCCCAAGGTCCCGTTATTCCAGTCTGAACACGCCCCTCCCGTGGCCTCGTGGCCATGCGTTGGTGTTGAATAAATACTTCCATTGTTGTCGTTATCACTCACCAGAGGACGAAAAGGACCATATCTTTTGCGAACAACAACTTTGCGTTTCTTCTGCCTGGACGGCAGTTCTGTGTTATTGAAACAATATTGGAAGCCGATATGGACAGCAAGCAAGCTTCTCCGCGGCCCTAGGATCAGCAACCTTGTCTAATCTGATTTGTCAATAACAGACCCCTGCGGCATCTGGATGAAGACACACGAGCATTACACGACAGCAACAAAACCCTTTCAGCGCGCTGCAAGGCACGACACGACCCGTTGTCCGCGGTAGCGTACTCCAAACGGCTCGTTCTTTCAACAAACTTCGATTCGAGGAGCCACTTGGCCATCAAAGACGTGATTCGTTCTTCACCTGAGCTCTAGGGCTCTAACGAATTCGCAAGCGTCACCCTTGATCGACGAACCAATCCTGAGCTTCGTGTTTACGTTACTGAAACTGCTCGTTACTGTGCACACAGTTCGCTGGGGACAAGACGGACACGCGGTCATCCCCGGACTGGTCTTCCTTGCTTTGCTTTGCTTCACTTCTGGCACTCCGGTTTCGCGGTGCGGATCTCATATCCGGCACTGGCTGGGCCTGGAATCGAAGCTTGTTGAGCCTAGGCAGGGTTACACAGCTTGATCCGAGAAAAAGGGTCTTTTTAGGGAGGAAACATCATTAAAGTCAGGGCAATTAAGATCAGGGGACTGATCGACAAACGAGGGAGGGCATCAATTGGAGAAAAAGAAAGAAAGAAAGAAAGAAAGAAAAAAGTGAGACCTGTTACAAAGCAATTCAGGGCCCAGCAGACCAAAAAAAGAAGTTCGGGAAACTTTTCAAATCTGTCCGCAAAAAGCTGAGGCGTGGAAGTTGACTGCCGCTGCATCAAGGCCCACAGGGCAGTTTTGAAGAGGTGAGGACCTTCTGGCTCCTGCCAAAACCTCTACAGGGCCACCGAGGAGACCCACTCCGCTCCGCTGTTGCCAGATTGATTGCAGCGTCTGCCCGCCTGCCACTGTCCAATTCCCACTGTCCACTCCTGCCAGCACACCAAACCCCCTGGCTCTTAGCCCCGAAGGCAGGATCAAAGGTACCGACCCCAAGTCTCACCCTGTCGTGTCGCACTTGCCCTGTCTTGGATCCCGGAATTCGGACTGGGGGGGGTGGCCACTGCAGACAGGATGATGACTCCACGCTCTTTCATGCTGGCGCAGCGTGAGAGGGAGAGCCACCATCAGCGCCCTCCTTCCCCTTGTACTACCGGTGCTAGTCATCATAATACTTTATCTATTCCTACTCCCTCTTTATCTCCTGCCTTCACTCCCATTCCCACACGTTTATTCTCCTCCTCACCCTCACCTTTATCTTCTTCTGTTCTCTTAGATACTTCGTCTCCTCATCACCAAATATCAACACCGATCAACAGTGTACATTATCCGTATCAGCCATCACCAACATACAACACCAAGTTGGCGACCCCAACAACAGCGACCTCGAAGTCGACCACATTCTCACTTCCGCGCTGGTCGCCAAAGTATGACGATAGCAACAAGCACACTACAGTCACCATATCTTCAGCTCAGCCGGACTCCAATGCAACAATGGTTAAACGCAAGGATTGGCGGGAGACTTCAAGTCTTGCCCCTTCGAGCCCACCAAAAACAACAGTTAGTTTGACGATGAGATCAACGACACCAACAAGTCCTGTCAAGATTCCTACTACCAACAACCGATATGGCGCTCATCCTCAAAAGCGTCATTCATCACAGAGGAAACGAAGCAGTGACTCGCGATCTTCGGATAAACTTTCACCGTCTCTCGTTGCACTCTTGGCCGTTACAGATATTCCTCGACATAAGCAGCTTCAGAGGCGCCGCCGCCGTTCCGAGAAGACCCTGACAGTGCAGGAGGTTATTGACTGTCAGCATGCTTCGGAAAAGGAACTGAGCTGGACATTCGGTAGCCCTCTGGATATGCTTCTCTCCCCACCTCAGGAAGTTGCCGACGATGATGATAGTGTGAGCGATTGCAACATTGGCTCCAGTATGTCAACAAGAACTTATTCCATCGATTCCATCCCATCTCTGGACGAGTCATTCTCTAGCGAGTGCCTCTCATCTCTCGGAAGCCCAAGGACACCTAGCCCATGCTCTCGCAGGACTAACTTGACTCCTATGCGAAAGTCGCTGGAGCCTGTTATCTCTCCACCTGGTTCCGTTGACGAACACCCACTGGCCGGAGATGATCTTGACGTCGATGAGCTGGACTTCAGCACTCTCAATCAGCCTGAGGAGGCTCAGCCCAAGTCTCAGTTCCTGGAGCCTTTCAAGCCCTTGAGGTCTGTCTTCAAGTCAAATCTTACCGCTTCACTCCGAGCCCTTCGATCAGCGGCCCGATCCTTCTCGGTTCTGAACCTTCCTTCTATCCCACCGGATGATTACTTAACTCGATCTATTCTCACCATCGACCCCAATGTTCCCTATGCTGATGAGCGTCGGCCACCCGTTTCCGAGGAAATGCCTTCCGCAGCAGTTCGCCGTTATCTCAACCCTACCACCAACGCAAGAATCGAACCGCCAACCAAGACCGTTTTTGCCGGAACTTTTGCTGCATCGATTCAGATGCGAACTTACAAGATCCAGCGCTCCCGAACAGCCCCGGGCTCTAACCGAAACTCTTATCCATCAACATCACTCCAATCGCAGCCTGCCCCTGTCCCTCAGCAGCCACAGCCGCAGGTCCCCACTCAATCGGTCCCAGGCATGCGACAGCGGGAAATGCGGGAGAACTCCGACTTCATCCGTATCGCTGTCATGGAAATGGCGATGCGCAAGCGTGGAAAGCTCGACGACCAGCGACCGGGCCGAGCTCGTTTCGCACTTCCTCCACGACAAACCTCAACGAAGCCTTACGAGATGGGAGCAAACGGTGTTCCGGCTCGCTGGATTCCTATCACAGTCTAGGTTTCCATTGCTGTGCCGTAACCAGAATCGACACCACAAATCAAAAGGCTTGAATTTCTCGATTTACGACATGCAACACGTCATGTACCTGGCCATGGTTTCTTTGCATTGCAACGAGACCGATTCAGGCAGGACAATCCACGGAAGTGCAGCCGACTTGGGACCCACTTCGTGGACTCATTATGGAGTCCCTGACGTTTATCCATGCCATTGGATGCGATGATGCAAATTTTTTGCCCCCCCATCTCAATGGAAGGGTTTTAGAAGCATGCCCACGAGCGATGGTCCCGCCACCCGACGATAGGCCCCGGAGAAAGTGCAACACGACTTTCGGCGGAACCAGAGCAAAACGAATGACCTGGTTCTGACTCGGGAAAACCGGGTCGAAATTAGCAACACTCAAGGGGATTGGCCACCGAACACGAACCCGAAACAGTTTGGGCCTCGGCACTCAAGGTCATTTCACCATGAGGGCATCGGCCAAACACACCCTCACAACCAATCACAATTTCCATTAGACATGGGAATACTTCATCATTCTAGAAAGCGAGTGGCATTTTCAGGAGTTTCCCGTTATTACACGTTATCTTATTTACTTATTCCCCTTTCTTATCACCGCGAGGTGGAGAAAAAGCGCACAATCACCGGATTACCAGGAACTTATTTGATTCTTGTACATTGACCAAAATTTCTCATATTTCTTTTTTCAAACAGGCCCTTTCGGCATTTGACCCCCGCCCAAGCGGGATCGGATGCAACTGAACAAAATCCCGCTCATGGCCGGGCTTATGGAGAGCCTTGGGACGCGGTCGGAGAAGACTCGGACAGAGAGGGAGTCATCGCATTTGTTGAGAGGAGTTCGCATTTAGGACCACAGGAACAGAGCATTGAGTCCGGCGAATTGGGAGATCATATCTTTTTTTCTGAGCAGAACTGTCACCAGTACATACATATCACATTCACAATGCAATCGTCTTTTGAGGCGAGGAGAGGCATAGGCGCAAGCGGCATGGCAGGGCAAGGAAGACATTGAGCGGTGTATTTACTTGGATATCCATTTGTTAACATTTACATATTTTTATCAAGATATTACTAGTATTTTTCGTGTTCCACAACCCACTGCGAATATCCTCTTACATTGGACCCTTCGGCTATTTCTAGCCCGACTTTTTGGTAACCATTCAATTCGTGGACCTCATTACCTTCGCCAAAAGCGGCAAAGCGACATTTGGGCTGGGCAATGCACGAATGCCCAACCAACCACCTCATCAAAAAGTAATATTGCACTGGACAGACTACCTACCTGCACGTTGGCGCTGTTGTCTCAGTCACCGATTGTTGAGATTGCGTGGTCAACAGTTACTGGATCTCACGACAAGGCCTTGCTGGCAATCTCGGCTAACAAGCTTATTCCACTCCATCAGTCTATCTGCTCGGTTATGGACCTTCTCTTTATGCTTCTCATCCGGGCAAAACTGGAGCGATGATGCCAGCAATAGTGTGACAGGAGTTCCTCAGATGTGGGACAAAGAACAAAAGAACTTCTAGAAGACCCTTTCCTTCTTGTTGTGGGGGTTAAAAGCCGCGACATTGGATTGAGTCAGACGCTAGTCAGGGGTTGGTAAAGGGCAGGGCTATAAGCGCCTTAATTGTCGATGTTTTGACCACGGGAGAGAAATCGACAACTCCCCGCTTGCGATAAGGGAAATAACGCCAAAAAGGCAAGATTTTCAACAGGGTTCTCTTTGCTGCACTGTACTTTGTTGTGCAGTAGCTGGCTCCATAATGCCCTCAGGGCCCCAAGGGGCGTGTAGCGGAGACAAATCTCCTATGCCCAGGAGGGAAAAATGTTCTAGACCGCTTATTACAACATGTTGTTTACTATCTCGTGACTGCAGAGCATATGAAGCCATTTAACCAGGCGGTGTATTAATTCCTATTCTGTGGGGAGGCTTCTCTTTATCATTCGGATATGTCTACCGAGCTGACCGCGATAGGGCATGGCGAGCCCTGATGACGATGGGCAGGGTTAATTCATCCAAGACCACGAGAAACCGACATGTCAACCTGCCTATGTCGGACATATGTACTCATCTACGATTATAGGGAGTATCCTGGATATGAAAACGCGAGCATGTGTTCTTTTGTAGGATGCTCGGCATGATAGTCGGGGGACTAGCCACGACGAGAAGGAGGCAAGACTTTCTGTAACAAGGGCAAAAGGTCCTACGATAGACACTCTCACATAAGTGCCTAAAGATACGAAATACCCTGACTATGATTTCTTTACTATGGAGGAGTTATAGGCAGGTGAATGATAGTGATATTTGCATGTGCGCAGCATGTGAGTGCGATTAATAGCTTGACACTTGATCCTGATATGACGGTACATGGGATTTGATGTGGGCGCAGTACTATGAGCAAGAATCTTACGGATGATTCGTTCATTCGAACGAGTATGTTTAATACATGGTCAGGGCCAAGGTCGTGCCGAGGCGATGAGATGGAAGACGGTGAGCTGAAAGCTAGTAGCTACAATAACAACTGCTAATGCTAACTGTATGGATTATCTTCAAAGGCCGAAGGAGCCATATTCCGGGACAAATGATTCGTCAAGTTATAATGTGAGACTGTGGTCAAATCGGAAGCATGTCTCCATGCAACAGTTTGTAGTCCAAGTTGCTGTCTGTCTGGAGTAACGCACATTGAGATCGTCGTACCCACTCATACCTAAAGAAATACCAAAGAAGCATGAGCGAGTTGAGGACCCTTCTGTTGAGTTGGGGATAGTAATGCGCTAATCTCAATATTGACTTGCGTCAATCCAAGCTTTGTATATTGCGAGTGGTTGCCATATGATCCGACATAATGAACACTCAGAGTCCAATTCTTGTTGACCAAACTTGATTGTCGAAAGACCTTGATATCATTCTATCAAGAGTTCCTAGTAAAGTTATTCATTAACAATGCGCCGACTATTTGGTGACATCGACGTTGAGCTGGGGAACTCCATGTAGGCTTTGTTCAACCACTGTCTCTGGGCAAGTTACGTTCATATTGAAAACATCATTATCATACAAACCAAACAATCTATAAATAAACATTGATACAGGACGATAGAATTGGACCCTTGTCTTGAAATCAGCCTGATGGTGCTTCAGAACCTGACAGGACTGCCCTCGTCAACATCTGAATCTAAATGAATCTTGATATTTGGACAATTGAGTCAATTTAATTGTATCTCCCGTCGTGATATAGAGTCTTATGATGGCGAGCATCAATACGCCCCAAATCATTAGGGATCTTTCGTTCTGTAGTGATATCACATTAGGACCATATCATCACCAGCATGGACGTTGCATGTTGTCAATATGCCTTAGGAAAGGGACGAGTGTGTGATTGATACAGGTAGAACAAAGAAATTTGAAAATTATGAGAGCGACTAGTAACAGGCAATGAAGGCCTGACATCTGTGCCCAAGATCATGGTGCACATACTGATTACGTGCCATGACCCTGCACAATAGGATTTGAAGGCTGTGCCAAGTCATTAACGAACGATTAGAGACGATTATAGTTAGAGTAGTCTATAATAAGTTGTCTGGCGGGATCAAGTCGACTTTACGCAGTTCTATGTTTGAGAGGACTGACCGAGTCTGATACGAATGAGGTCTAAGCCCTGACTAACGACGGGCAGTAGAGAGATGGTCTACGGGGTTAAATTGGACATACTGCTAAGAGAGGGTGATGCCATGTCTTGGTGGTAGGCTGTGGTTTGAAATGAATGCGCGGTATCGTATGTTCGCCATGTCAAAGATCCAAGTCCCTAAACGGACTGTTCTCAGCAAGCAAGCCCGGTAAGGGGGGCAACGAATAACTGCGGCACATGCTATGAAGACATGATCAGTAGCTTTGAAAGTTTGATTATGGTATTAGGAATTGTGTTCTTCCTTCGAGTTGTGCCAGAAAACTAGTTAGCTGCATGCAATACGCCACGATAACTTGACTGAACAATCACGTAGTGGAACCATGGCGAACGCCAAATGAACATCATTAAAATCATTATTATGAATATGCTAACCAGCCATGCCAATTTGTCAATCGCTCTGCCCTCGTCATGGACAGATACGCACTATCCTCAAGCCTATCCTGAAGCTCTTTGAACTTTGGCGTGGGTGCTTTTCTCTCAAATAAGATATCCAATTCGAGGTATGTCAAGTTCCTCGTCTCGGGTAATCTGATATAACACCATATCAGACAGAAAAAGCTCGTTCCTGCGTAGAGGAAACATGATGCGCCGCCAATGTTCCAAGCAGATGGGTTGAGCATCTTGGGCATGATGATGTTGTTGAATATTAAACAGAGGTTATATGTAACTCGTGCGAGAGCAACGGTTTTAACTCGCAGCCGGGTAGAAGGTATCTCGGCAACCACGATATAACACACGGGGCCGATAGTCATGTCGTAAATAAAAGTCATGGCGATGATCAAACCGCCCAAGGTCCAGTTCGCACCAGTGCGATCGCTCAGCACCACCCATACCACGCCGCCAGCGGTCAGCAAGCAGATGGGTGCGAGCAATCCGTATATGTATAGTTTCCGGCGACCCACGAAGGGGAGTAGGATCCAGGCAATGATACCGCCGATGATGCCGACGCCGTAGCAGGCGGTTGAGAGGTTGAAGGATATGGAGGCGCTGAAACCAGCCTGTTCGAAGAAATAAGGTGCGTAAGATGTGAGTGACCAGCCGCTAAATGCTTGGCAGACCCAGGCAATACATGAAATCTCTGTTCGTCGACGATTGACTCCTTTGAAGAGATCTCGATAGCTGGCTCCTCCGTAGTTGGAGTCCTTTTCCATCTTGTTGGTGTGCTTCATTAGTGAGATGGTATCCTCTATATCGGTACCATTCTTATTAGTAAGACGAGTCAGAGATTTTCTCGCCTCGTCCGTTCGTTCATGGCGTATCAGCCACCCTGTTTGCCATGTTAGTTGCGTTGTGATTAGCAGGGTGAGTTCTCTTACAAGGGCTGTCGGGCGCGAACCACACGCCGAACAACAACGGTATCGCCCACGCCCATTGAAGCGCAAAGGGAAGTCGATAAGACCATTGAGAGGTTTCATGAACGAGAGACCGGAGGATTCCGGTGCCGATGACTTGTCCGACCAGCCAGCACATGTTGATGCTGCTGAGGACAAACGGCCGCAAAGCATTTGGCACGACTTCAGCTGAATAAGTTGCAGCAAGAATTTCGATGACACCCCATGACAGCCCTGAGGATACGGTCAGTATTTTTCGTATGAATATCGGTTTATAAACATACCAGACAGAGCTTGTGACGTTAATAGGACGCCGATACTGCCGGCAAAAAAAGCAGGAAACACAGCGATGCACATCCAAAACAAACTGGCAAGCATCATCTTTCGGTATCCAATAAGATCTGTGATGTAACCGTGTGCCAAAAGTCCAATGATTTCACATGCAATTGCGGCGTTCTGCAGACCCATCTGCCATGATGGTGAGATCTCGTACATCTGATCTTCAGCTGGTGTATCCTTTGGTAGAATTGGCTCTCCATATTTCTCTCTGAATGCAGGAAAAGCAAAGAGACCAGTTACAAGTGACTTGTCATAAGCTCTGTGAATGTTTAGTTGTACAGTCTAATATGGTATGATTTTATGACTTACTCCATGACCACAGTCAGGAAGAGCAACAATGACCATCCTACTGCCTTTGGGTACTGTCGACAGCATGAAAAGAAAGTAGCTTCTTTCTCTTCTGCGAAACCGCGATAGACTCGCCTCGTTGTTGAATCAGAGGCATGAGAGTGCGGCAGCCACAGCGAATTGGTGAGGTCGTTTGGTAGAGATTCTAACTCAGGCTCGCTGCTCCTGGGCGAACCTGTCGCGAATTCAGGTAACTCTGGCAGAGGAATGGGGCGTGCATCAGTGGGGATGGGGATAGCCTCGCTGGAAGGGCCCATCTTTGAGTTTGTCCTGGTGGATGGTGTTGAATTCCACCAGCGCAGTTTCATGTCGAATTACGCGGGTTTTCAAGGTCGTAAGCGAGTGAGACCATGGCTGGAATTTAGGTTTGTCCAACTCTCTTTTCGATGTCCGGGGGGTTATTGACGATTCCCCAGATATTTCATGGCTACAGTTTTGTTGATGGAGAGAAGTTGTTCAAAAAGAGAAGTGTTTCAGTCTTCAGATCCATCCAGAGAGAATTCAAAGTTGGAACAATGCATTGTGGGGGCAGCAGATCGATTGGTCAATGGCGATGCAGAGAAGAATCAGCTAGAGGCGAAGATGAGAGCTAAACCTGGTGACCAACACGTCACTTTTGTGCTTTGGGTCCCTGTTCGGGCCGTGGGCCACGGAGTTTGGTGGATATTCAATGGTAATAGTTTGTATAGACTACTGGGGTTGGGGGGCTGAATAATTGCCCATGGGGGACGGTTTAGAGTCTTGTTTTGGTTATTATGGAAGTGCAGCAGAGGCTCTGTAAACAGGTACGCGATCATACCCAGCCAATGAGAGCTGAGTGTTGTTGCCTTCTCACACTCAAAATAGTAGCGATATAAACATATCTTCACTTCTCAACTCAGTAAATCACTTCATCAACGACACAGGCTCCCCCATCTTATGATTCTCAACCAGGTTCAAGTAAGCTCAAATGTGGAACTGTAAAGTATTTCAACCCACCAACATTCGCGCAAAAATCTGGAGTCGGTCCGATCCCCTTACTCTACCTCGGTCTGGGTTCCCCAATAAATATCTATCTAATAAAATGTCTCGTGTGACGGCGGCAACGTTGCCTGTAAAAGTTCAGAGTTTCAGGAGAGTTCTTATAAGCCACGAGTGAAAAGTCTGAGGGAGAAAATTGGCGTTTCTTGTAAGAATCCCATTCGTCCAGTCAGTTCGTGTATGGTCTAATAGTCACAGTTCTAAGTAATGTGCTTCTACCAAGCAGCCCACAATGCGTTGGTTATCATTGAATTGGTCTGTAGCAGCTGCCATGTTCCTCTTTTGTTGATGTCGAGTGATTTTGGGTCCGACTTGGTTTAAGCTTATCAACCACGTTTTGTAGCAATTGACTACAGCCCGCTATCGCTGATCATCTGCCATTGAACCATGCTTCCAAGTATCGATGAGATCTACCACGCCAGGCGATATAAAGCGACGTTCTATGTAGCTTCAAGACATTTGTTATCATTGCGAAGAGTAATTTGGCAACAATTCATGCCAGCACTGCACAGCTTGTTTCCTATACGCCTCAGGCTGTAGGTGGGGTCACGTGCCAAGCCGTTGAATTCTCATCAAACTCAACACCAAGCAGTCTTTGTCCAGGACTTGACGAATCACAGCCCATCAACCTTTAGCCGGAAAGTATCACACCTCATTTGGGCACTCGGGTACATACTCATGTTCAAGGTCTACGTGAGGCCGCAGGCCTTGCCGAGCATGCTATGGCGTGCTCAGAATTATATGATAAGGAACTATTCAGTGAGACCATCATCGAAACCATCACAACCAAAGCCGTCATCAGAAGAGAAACCACCACCACCCACGAGACTCACGTTTGTCCCAACTTCAGAGTGAGCACCACCAAGAGACCCGATACATAATTCACAGAAACACTAGACAGAAAGACCACGAAGGCAAGAAAAGATCCCTGAGAGATCATCAAAAGACAAGTCACCACAAAAGAGACCACCAATATCAAAACCAGAACCAGAATCAGAATCAGAGAAAAAAACATAGGAACCACCAGAAATGGACCTACAGCAGTACAAGCTAGAGCGTCATAAACGGTTTTTGACTGCAAACTTACTAGAGGAAGAAGCTAAGTTCAAGGCCAAACTAGCCAGCATGACTCCGGAAGGAAAAAAGAAGAGACTGAATTACATGGTGGGATGGCCACTGGAAACACCTCATTCAAGAGAGCTGTACAATAACCCTAAGGATTTCAGGGTGGTCAGGAGGCTCAGAGCAATTGAGATGATTCGAATGGTATTCGGCTATCACCTCACTCAATGCTTAAAAAAGGAGATGGAATCCAGGCTGCAAACCCGGCTTCGAGGCAGCTATATGAGAGACGTCAGACTCATCTGCGTTGGCAGACAAAGCCAGGAGGCTGCCCCAGGAACTGGAGGGGGAATGGAAGATGAGGATCAAGTCGTTCCATCTCGGTGTGGCTATACTGGACACCAGGGATCTCCGAGACGTCATCCAAAATCGTTTCAAACTTGATAACCTATCATATCTCATTTGAACTTATCAGTTTGCCGTCCAAGACAGCGTGCCCGGAGTGCAACGTTTCTGTTTCGGTGACACAGAGGCCATATCTGTAGAGGACCTGAGGCGCAGATTCGTTGAGTGGCGGGAAGGAAGAGATGTGATTGGCGTTGCATACTCGGCTCACGGCGACCTTGCCTTCTTGAAAGAGTTCAAGATCTTCCTGAACGAAATTTGCTGGATCGATCTGGCCCAAGCACAATGCATTCCACTTCAAAACGCAATTGAACCATCGTTGGCAGTTGTGATGAACAGACTGAGGATCCGCTACGCAGGCAAGCTGCACGTACCAGGAAACGACGTGCATTTCGCCATGAGGGTTTTCCTTGGAATGGCAGTTTTGGATTTCTGGCGCGAGTGGTCTCATTGGGGAAATGGGCTCAGTGATATCCCACGCTGGTACGACCTAGCTATAAAAGCAGTTCGGGCTAAAATCCCCAGACCAGAACGACATGAATTCACGACTTGAGGATGGACGTGATCCTTGCGGCTCGAGATGCCTGCTTTGGTCATTGAGGGTAGGATAATCCGTCGGTGTGCTATAGGTCGAAAAGGCATGACCTGATGATCACCAATAACGATGAAGATGATGCTGTTACTACGTTGGTTATGACTGCACATCAAGACCGGTTGGGTATTGTATTAAAGACAGGTCTCACCACCAGAGCCAACACAAGACTCGCCGGAAAACTCACGAAGGAACGGATGAATGAAGATCAATGAGGGATGGTAGGTATAAGCGTTGATCAAGATGAGAACCACGAACGCAACTTGAGCGTTATCCCTCATCATCGTCGCTAATAAGAGGCAGGTAACGCTGGCTCACGTGTATAATAACAAGAACTTCTTCCGCTGAAGATCATTTCCCAAGACTGAGAAATGATCTGACGAGACCCAAAATATGGCAAAGTCAATTCTGAGCAAAACACCAACGCAACTGTCAACTGCAAATCACATGCCGTGGATTACAGGTCCACAGAGACAAACAGAATCAGGCTTCCAAGTTCCTCATCGTCGGGACTGGGCGTCGCATGCTCGTCCTTGTTCGATGTTATCTGGGGTATGGCACCACTGAGCTGGTTCAGCAGGTTTGCCACTGACAGGAGACAAGGCCAGGCTGAGCCAAAAACTGTCACCTTGTGTTGGCTGCTGCTGGTGTTCGGTGGACCCCGCCTTGACATGGTCAGATGTTCAGAGCCTGAAGAGGGAGCATGAGGCCAGGGGTTGATAGAGGTCGACAGTTGCTGAAGGCTTCATTCCGGCAAGAGCCGAATTGCATAGACATATCAACAGAGCAGTCATGTCCAATGTCTGTATTTGTATACTTTGAGATAATTATACCGTATTATTATAGCACAGAGCAATAAGTCACAGTCAATGCAAGGCTGTTATGCTCCACATAAACAAACAAAACATCCACAGACCACAAAATAACTATCTCAAATAAAAACAGTAGTAAAACACATATTATTATTATCATGATGGAAAATACGTTTCAAAATGATCACATCCTCTCCATTCCCCAAGTTTCCAAATCTGGAATGCCCTTGTTCCCCGGAATCGCCCGAATAGGTCAGACAGCCCAGGGGCCAGCACCTACAATCACACCACCATCGACCGACTCTCAATTGGCAATTGAGAATCCCACGGCTCATGATCGACAGCGCAAAAAAGGTTGACAACAATGTAAATTAGTATAAGAGACTTGGTCCAACTCGTCAAAATGGAGTGATTTCTTGTCATCACCTTCATCAATACAGTCCAGCCCAGTCCAGTCCTGTCCTGTCTTCTCAACTCACCATCATCTCAAAAAGTGTCTATATCTTCACTTACACTTACACTTACACTTACACCGCACCCACTTACACAATGGCCGCCATCGCTAGACCTGCTCTCGCTAAGCCTGCCGCATACCCCAAGTAAGTCCCCATAACTTACAGCAACTCATCTCCACCGATATCCTAACAATTATTAAAGGGCTCTCCCCGTTGTCGTTGCTGTCGGCAGCTTCGCTCTCGTCGCTAGCTACGTGACCTCCCAATTGGCCACCACATCAGCCAAGTTCGATCGCTCTTTTGCAAAGTACAACACTCCCGAGAGTGAAGCCAACCGAGCAAGGACCTTTGACGGTGCCATCGAGAATCCCAGGACAAGTCTGTTCAACATCCTCGGTCGACGACAGTAGACGATCAATTGTCTATAGAACTTTATTATAAAGGATCCTAGAGATCTGCTTCTGCATACGCATATACAATTTCTTCACGTTGAGCGTTCTTTATTACGTCTACAACATCGCCTGGTTATAAGTGGCGCAGAGACGGACATAGCATTTGGTGGTTGGATAAACTGGAGGTGGAATATACCATGGAAGTCATATAATTTGAACAATGAACAAACAGTTGAAAACGTCACACAAAATCGACCATGATAAATGAACGCGACATCAATTCTTTTGTATTACATATAAAAATTCCGCCAGCCAGTCTTTTGCTGAGGTTGCCCTCGTTTCCATAAAGACTGATCTAGGGCTCATCCTATCCTGTTCCTAGAACAACACTTGCTCCATCCAATTCGCTCACTATGCTATGATATATGTTCTCCATCTTCCTCCTTCATATTGGACATCAAATATGCAAAAGAATGGAAAATGCCACCTCTAGTCCTACCCAATACGCCTTTTTGCCTAGATTCTATATACTGCACCACCCATATCACTGCCACTAACAAGCGACTTGATATCTCCCTACTTTTATCCCGTTTTCATCCTGCTGGGAGTCCAGCTGAGTCGTGACCCCGTGTGGCTTGAAGACCGCCTAGATCTACTTTTAGGTCCTGCGGGTGTCAACTGGTCGTCAACGGCCTCCGAATCATCCTCTTGCTGTGAGGGGCTGCTGCTTTCTCTGTTGCCAATACGAGATGTGAGCGCGCTAAGCTTGTCTTTGAGGTTGCTTGCGCCGTTCTTCCTTCGTACCCCAGAATCGTGATTGCTCATGCTCGACGCAGGTCGTTCAATGCCCGTCGGAATTCTTCTAAACCCGGGCCTGTGCTGTTGGGCGACAGGCACCGGAATACTGCTGTGAGTGCTGGCGCTGTTTACACTGCTAGCATGGGAATTGCTTGGTGTTATTCCATATGTCTGGCCCTGCTGGCTATACATGCTGTTATTCATGCTGTGTATGCTGCTTTGTGGACTTGCGGTAGCTGGCCGTAAAAGCTCCACGCCGTGATGATGCCTGTCGTTACGATGATGATCATCAATGGGGGTTGGCGGCGTCATCATCAGGAAAGCGGGCACATTAGGGCCATGGGGAGCTTGCAGGCCATGGCCTGTGCCACCGTTACGATGCGATCTTCGACTCTTGACACTCGAGCTTCGACTGCGTCGTCGCATAGCAGATCCTGGTCGTACACTACTGTGTGTGCTTCCGGCTCGAATGCTTCTAGGAGGTGATCGGGAGAAGTCCACAGGAGATGAACCGTATAGACTGGAATCGTCGCTATCGTTCAGACTGCCAGGGTAGTGTTGAGAGCCACCTGAAGAGGACGGTGCAATGAGGACTGAGCTGTTGGCCAGTACCCGTAACTTGTCTCGCTGTTCGGCATTGGGTCGATGTTTTGAAAATTTGTTCCCAATAAGTGCACCTGTATGCGAGATCAAGGCCTTCACAACCGCCTTCTTAAGAGCCAGGGCTAGATCCAGATTGGACCATGTCTTATTCTCCCACTCAATGCTGGGCATCCTGAAGACAAAGTCGTGCACATCCTCAATGTTGCGATTGTCTTTGCCACGGTAGCTCAGGCAAAGCACCACAGAAGGCATTTTGATGGACGAAAACGTCATGTACTGGCTGGCACGGGTCATCATCTTAGTAAGGTCGTCTGACTGCTGCTTTTCATTGTGGTGTTTCTTTCCCAGTCCGAAGCGTGACTTCTTATCGCCGTCCCTTGACTCGCGACCTTCCCTAGAAGAAAGACCCGTGGAAGCACGCGTAAGGCCAACTCTTGGACCCATGTTAGATCGGAGAGACTCATGGGATGCCTTCTTAAGCATAGTCTTGGAAGTTCCAGGAGTACGGAAGAGGCGGAAAGAATGGCCTTCATTGCCCGTGTTGACACTCAAGGCCTTTCCAGGGGGCGCTTCAGTCTTGGTGTTGGATGTCAAAGTAGGTCTTAGTCGAAGCTCGAGTGAACCTGAGCCTGCTGAGAAAGACGATGAGGATGATTGTCGTGTGTACGAAGGTGTCAGGCCGTTGCCATCTTCATAATCCTCGTCCTCCTCTCCATCAGCCGTGACCTGCTTCAGCATGAACGGGGAGTCGTTCTTGGTGCCGGCCGACTTTTCTCCATTGATACCAGGGAAAATATACTCAAAAAGTCGCTTGCCAACTTCTCGCTCTAATTGTACCTTGATTGGGAACAAATTGACCTCAAAGCGGTCCATCACTGGAATGCCTGCTATAGCCTCCAACATGTACCAATACACTCGGATCATCTCCTTGTGCTCACCCTCCTGGGTATGCGGCTTCTCAGGATCGATATATGGTGCGATCATCTCAGGGTATGTGGCATCCGGTAACAGGTTGAGGCCAAGGACCTTACCAACACGAATGAGGTTTACATGAGAACCATCGGAGTTGTCTGTGCGGTCATACTCGAGGTCCTTAAGCTGCAGCTCCACCAAAGGTTCATTCGAATCTTGCATGAGATGCCAAACGATGTCTCGAATGGTAATGTTCCACTTGAGAAGACCAGTGCTGTCATCCGAATTGACATCATACTTTCTCTGTGAAGAGGTAATGGCCTTCATCATGAAGAATAATTCATCCTCACAAGCTGCCAGATCTTTCTCGAGGTGCAATCTGTCTTGCCAACCCTTCTTATCGAGATGTTTCGCATAGATCTGGAAATGGTCCTTGATCTCTTCCATCTGCCTGATGCGTTGTTGCAGCTTCTGAACCATAGCCGGAGCACCACTCAAGTCGCTGAAGTCCGAGGCGAGGATGATCTTTTCCAAGCGCTCACTACGCGTCTTCTCCATGGGTTCGTTGTACATGAGGAGATCAAGTACAATGACATACAGTGCATAGTACTGCGATGAGTTGCAGAGAGCTCTTGCGGTTGGGAACTCGACCCAAAGATTGTCCATGCGGTTCTCCATATTGACTTGAGAAGCGTTTTCGTTTCCGTCCGTATTCACCTCATCGTTGTACTTCAGGCGCAAGGTATTGAACTTATCATACCGAACCATGGCCGAAGTTTTCTGGACAACGCGCTTGAAACCGAAAGGATCCGCCTGGAAGTCAAAAACCACCTCGATAGGAACCCATGGAGGCCAAGAGGAACCGCTTGGTGCACCGTATTTGCTTCCAACATACATCGACACAAGGCTGGTTTGGAACCACTTGCGATGTGTGACAAAGAACTGGACGCTATCCATATTGACCAAGAATCGGCGCTGAACGAGACCGCTGACATTGTCTGAGATTCTCTCCTTCTCCATGACTTCCATAACCTTCAGCTCCATACCCTTAGCAGTTGCTAGCACCACATTCTTCTTGTTCTTGTCGCTCTGGAGTTGAATCTGCGGAGCAATGATTCGAATGTGATAGCTACTTTGGGGAGTGAATTCTTCGGCAATTCCGGTCACCAGATCTTCGATCGATCCCTCAACAAAGCCCTCGGCGTTAGTGCCCCAGGTAGCCGATGTAAACTTGCGACCGTCATTGAGAATGCGTTTAATGCGCTCTTCGATATCCAGAGGGGTTTCGTCATCATGGATGCTAGATGCGCGAGAACTCCTTCTGCCGCCTTGTCGACTGTGTGTTGATTTGGCCTTGCCTGGCTTGTTGTTTGACTTAGCTTTGTTCTGCTCTTCGACAATGTCAAGGATAAACTTGATAGCGGGCCGCGAAAGGTAGTAGGTGAAACCACGTCTTTGGCTGTTTTGGTGAAGGTATCGAAGCACGATATTTCGCAGGGTGTTATTCCACTTGAGTTGCAGGTTGTGGATAACAAAGCGATTGTTGAACTCGCTTTCAAACTCGCTGGTTGCTGGGATTTCCATGGTCTCATCCTGGAAAGGGATGGAAGACTCGCCTGATTGCTTACGGCCATCATTACTGCTCCTATTAGTACTTGACGGAGCACGAATCTTGGCCTGGTTCAGCATTGATTCAAGGAATTCCTTCTTCTCTTGCAGCACGTCGGTATGTTTCTGGAAAGCCTTGAATTCTTCCACGGCAACTCGGTCTTTTGCATCGCATTTGATAACCCTCAACTCCGCTTCGCCCATCTCACGATCATGAGATTCCATTTGTCTGCCCAGCTGATCAAGGCGATCCCTAATAAGCTGACCCTGGATTCGACGGGGATCGTCATCGTGTCTCATCACACAGAAATGTGTGGGTTCGCTTCCAAAAGGACTAGTTCGTGTTGGGTCTCCAGCGATAACACCGCCAATGTCTGTTTGTCTGAAATATGTCAGGCGAGGGGCGTATGCCAGGGGTAAAATTTTGGTGTCAGGGTGAGGCTCCGTGGGTGTTATCCAGTCAAGCTCGACAAAATCATCCATATCAATCCAACTGAAGTCATTGTCCGGAATAGTAAACCGAGACAAGTCAGGCTTCTCGTCAGATTCGCTCATCAATGTTGCGATAGATCCTTTCTTAATGGCCTCTGTGGTTGTTCCCTTCAAACTTGCTGACACTGCTCGGACATCGGCGCTAACGAGGTCAAGCTGGGCAGCATGAATCTTGATACCTGATGTTTTACTGGTGTCGTCACCATGTTTTCCTTTACCAAGGGTATTAAACTCTTCTCGGCGTTGATGAAGGTCAAGTGAAAAGCTGTCAAATCGCACCTTCAAACCAGTTGCAGAGACTGCATTTTCAGAATGGTCTTCGACATCCTTGTGCTTGTAGATGTGACTGAGGAAAAGTGGAGCGAGCAAAATGTTGTACTTAACAGTTGCAAGATGTCGGCCAAATTTCTTGCTGTTCTTTTCACGGCCAGGGAAGAGACTACCTTGACGAATTGGCAATGACAGCGGCTGTCCAAACAAGCCCCACCAATTGAAGAAGTGGGTGAAGAAACGGGGGGTGAGATGGATAGTGTTGTAGCTTCGGGAGGGCTCTGGACTATCTGACAGCCAGTCACGATCAGCTGGTGCATGGATCGCAATAGAAAGATGGATGTGTCGGCTTCGGAAACCACGCATTGCATCGTATGGAAGACCGTTCGCATCAGGTTTAGCGAAGTGTGGATTTTTGAGGACGATGTCATAATGAGGGCGAAACTCAAAGCTTCGCTGGCCGTCCTCAATAGCACGTTCGAAGATGAGGCCAGCCATGACCTTGACCTTGCCTGACAGCTTCATGACAACCTTCTTAAAGCTCGCCTCGGATTTGTAGTTGTCTTCAGGCAGGTGACCTTCAGCATCGTAAAGTCGCCGGGCCTGGTCTCGAACTTCATGGCTATAATCAGGCACTGCGAGGATGTACTCGCCACTTTCGACTGAGATGAATCCTTTGGGGTCATCGTCAG